TGAATCCGGGCAGCTCTGAGTCTGTTGTTCTCAGTTCTGTGTAAAATACAGAGATTTAATATAATGCAAATGCTACCTATTAAATGTATTGATTACTCATAGTCCAATAAAGCTATCATATACAGTGGTCTTAGTGCATTGATTTACATATTTTTCCCTCAAGACCAATTGATCGTTTAAAGAGTTGGTACAGTTTCAGTCAGCCAGAGTTTACATTGGTTTAACTATGTTCTTTATGTTGATGTAAATGTAATTAAAGCTGCCACTGAAGCAGGCTGGTTTCGTGTTTTGCAGGACTGTGTGCACACGAGTTTCTGGTTGTATATGAAACACAAAGGTGTGGTCAGTGCAACTGTTTGTTTTGGTCTCAGATGTTCCTCCAGTGGGACCATCAGGGTCATATGCAACACTTTTAACAGATTTGCTACAAATTTTAATCTGTGAGTGCATCTTAGTGAGTGACCACTTCAGTACCAGGACCTTTGAGGCTGATGTCACCTCATCTCTAATGACCATTCACTCTCACCTGGTGATTTTTTTTCCCCCCATACACACTGTTCTGTATAATCTTGAACAGCAAAGTATTGTGTTTATAATAAGTTTTTTTCAATGCAGTTATAGCTTATAAGAAAACACCATCGTAATAAGGTCTGTTTAGCAGGCACATGATATTGAAAAGTGCTTCTCTCAACTCTTTAAGTACTCCCCCTAAAAGATGGTGGCATGTTTATTCTTAAGACTCTTGTTTTGTTTATGTCAAAGCAGTCAGTGACTAACGGTATCCTGACAAACGCTTTTTGAGGGCATATCTTTATTTTTCACAGCATCCTAGCTAAGTGACTGTTGTTTGTTTTTGTTAATACTGGCAAAGACACTTGTTCCTTCCGGTCTTTGGTGGTCCAGCTTTGTTGTGCTGTCTCCGCTTGGATTTTATGAGATAATTAAAACAGCGCTCAGATTACACATGGAATTTCCCGTACATGTACTCAAACTTATCAGTTGTTTTCAGAAGGACATTTGTGTCAACACGTGATTGATCAAGTCAACAATATTAAAAGTCTTCCTGTTTAGCTTACCATGTGATGAAGGGAAGGAAAATTTAACAAAACGGCTCATGGTGAGAAGCTCAGATTAACAAAAATGTTTTTCTAGTACTGGCACAAAACAACATACTTCCTCTTACAGTAACAGTCTCTTGTCTATATAAAGTTTAAGCCCTATTAGTCCAATAATGTAAACCAGGTAGGTCTCAGAGGGCTACATGACAGACTAATGAGACTTGATGGCCCCGATACTGGACATCACAGCTTTCTGCAGCTTCTAGCTCTGAGTTGTATATTTGCTGTCCCACAGCTATTACACTCAGTAATTATATACACACTGGTCTCCAGAGTGGCCAACCAATGTCTAAATTACAGTCGGTGGAAAAACCACGGCAAAGTAAAAAAAAAAAATGTCTCGAAAGAAACTTAACATACCAACATGCTTCAGCCTTTAAAAAGTAGTACAAGAATCGAAAACATCTCAAGTCCTCTTCTTTATTATTGAGTATTTATTTAAGATTTTGAGAGCTGACAGAGTATCAGATGTTTGGTCTGTCTGCATTTATTTCCAGGCTTCCTTTTCAAGCAACACAGTAAGCATTTTAGAGGAGCATTTGCAGGATTATTTTGGAAACTTTCTTTCAAATAGAGTGAGGCACATGCTAAAAATCTACTAATGGTCTATCCCAGGCTTTAGACGGGGTTGCTAGATTGTATTTAAAAGCTTTAAAAAGGTCTATATTGACAAGCAGGCAGAGTTGAACTGAGGTGTTGAGCCCAGAGTGTTTTACTTCCAGTGTGTAGCCTTAATATTACACCACGGCCACAGCTGCTGTGTCGCCGCTGATCTGTCCCCAAGAAACATGATGCTGTTTATAATCTGACCATCATTTGGACGCCGACAGCCTGCGACGCCAGACCCATGATTTACCCCTGGGTGCCTGTGCGTGTGTGTGTGTGTGTGTGTGTGTGTATGTGTGCGTGTTTGTTTCTGAGAGCAAGATTTATGAGGACACAGGGTATGAGGGTGAGGATTAGGTCTTGAGGGACAGAAAGTATCCCATGTTGTTTTCATGCACTCCCACAAATATTAGGATTTTATTTGCCAACCAAAATTAGCTGTGTTTGGAAGAATAAAGCAGTGAATATGGATAAACTAATCAAAGACATGGTGCTTGAAGGTTATGTCAAGAAGATTAAAAAAGAATTTGTCAGTAAATGTTACTTCATGATGAAAAACATGCTGATCCCATCTCTTATTGGGTGATAAGCAGGATACCTCTTGTAATTTAATTTATCTATTTAATGTACTCTTGTTTCATTCCATCTCAGGGTGAGTTTGCTTATATAACTGCTTTACTGTGGGTCTACCCTGCTCTGAAGCAGATGGACACAGGGCTGAGCAGAAGTATAAAATTAAAAATAATATTGTTGTGGTGGAATTAAGGCACGACGGGACCACAGATCCATGTTTTGAGCCATCTTTATTTGATATTTCACCACCACAACCCCTCACCAACCCCTGAGTCCCCGTGTTTTAACACGGCGGGCGTGATTGCGGATGCCGTGCAGGTGCGTCCGCACGGCACCGCAGACCACGCCCCACCACAATTGTGTAACTGTAAGTGATGAAAGATTCAGCACTCAAAATCTCAAAGCCAGGGCAAAATATCTATAAGTTATGATAATAAAGATCTGTGGGCAAAATAAAAACCCTTACCTGATTTATATTTGGCCCACCTCAACTTGTTACACACCTCTCGAGCATTTTGAGCTCACTGTGTAACTGCTACATTTTATCCCTTTGCACTTGTGCCTCTGCAGTGCATGCTGAATCTCCCCCATTGTCAAAGTGACTACCCTTCAGCTGAATTTTGAATTTTGGAAAGTGGTTGAAGTTGCAGGGTTAGGGTTAGGGTTAGGGAAAACACAGTTATAGTACAGCTGACGGTCTCAGCCTTGGGGGTCGAGGAGATGATGCAGCTGAAAACTGCTTCTGCATCGCTGTTCTCATCAACGATGATGCTCCTTACAGTAAAGTGAGGAGCATTATCAGGCCAAAAGGGTGATCTAAAAGGACAACCTTTATTGGGTGACTGGCAAAATCAGGTAAGGTCTCAGTCACACTGGCTTGTGCCATTTGGCAACCCCCTGGCAACCTGTGGTTGCTGTAGTCTATTCCCCCAGTGTTGGCTGGAGGCATCTAGCTGATGCCTGATAAAATCAGTCAAAAAGAGGTTGTTGCACAGATGCCACTCATCTTTTCAAAGTCCAACACAATCTGGAAACAAAGAATGTTTGCCTTCATAGTAAAAGTTGTTCATAACTGCTGCAACCAACACATTTCAAAACATTTACTATGAAGGAAAGTAGTCTCCATCCCCCGTTTGCATCACACTTCTTAGTTTTACTATTGCTTAGCTTTGCTTAGTAGTTTGTTACTATTTGATTCTGTGTCTTCAATTGGAAACCAAAGCAATCACAAGAAGGTTTGTCATGCAGCACTGTATACCCCTGCAACCAAATCGACTGTCAACAGGCTCCCACAACACACTTTTCCCTAGTGACTAGTGGTTGCCAGGGGTCTCCAGTCTCTACGCCTGCGTCAATTGATTTCACAGCAGATGCTAGCAACTGTCTCCTAACCGATCAGGGATTATACATTTTTCCCTCATGGCGGGTAGTTTCCTGATGGTCTTTAGCCCCGAATGAGTTTTAACTCTGTGTGACTGGGGCCCAAGACAGTTTCATCACACCTTGTGCATTTCTTAAAACCATTACAAGCAATCAAATAGAATCTGCTGACAGGAAAATAAAGTCCCTGTGATGGTAGATGTGTTTCACTATGTTTTGTATTAGAAGTTAATGGTTGTAGCTGCATGTTTTTTGTCTTTTGTTTGTTATGTGTACATAACCTACTTAGTTGTAAATGAAATGGTTCTGAGAGGCTGGTGCTGTAGTTACTTGTATAGTTAGCAGCAATAAATGTTTCTTAGTTACTTCAAACTTAGTCTGTCATTAAAACTATTTTGTATTTATCTCCTTGTTAAGACTGGAGTTGTGAGTATGGTCTAATACAGTATGTACTAAAATGCTGGGTCATCCACCTCGCGCCACTCATTACTGGGGACAACTGCTAAGGCAGTTTACACATGTATGTCAGAATACAATTGCATACCATCCCCCAAATAAGCACCAGTAAATGACAGCTGTAATTATCAGGACTTCACATGCGTGCAAAGAGGCCCTAAGCTGTCACAGTGTTGAAACAAATGTCTGGTGATACATGTGTTTTGTCGGTGAATATAATCTGTTTCATCCTATTTAACAAACTGGCAACATACAGCTATGGGGCATATAGCCCAAACATCTGTGCATTTCTCTCCTCAGCTCTTAAAATAGAAAGATAAAAAAAACAGAGTTAAACAGAATTAGGCAGTGTTAGCGATGTGAGTCTTGTTTCTTTGTAAAACAGGTGTGCTGTTTGCTTGTCAGTTGTAATGAGTGTTTGCCTTTGATTTGTGTCCTTTTCCTGTCACTCGTATATCCAATAGTTTAATTTTTTTTAAATGGCTACGGTTATGTAGCTGTGTAAATATGATATCTTTTTTTATATAGTTTATATAGTGTTTTTAGAAATCATTTATTGCTGTTTCCCAGTGAAAAATGATGTATTCCATGTTTACAAAATCCTATTATGCACCCAGCCTGCCATCATTTCTCAGAATGGAAACAAAGCCAAATTAGTGAGCACACTAAAAACTAATCACAGTCATATGCTTGGTTGCAGTAAAGCAGGTACCTCGCTACAGTTTTGTGTTTTAACACCGGCATCTCCAAAATCTGCTTTTGAGGTTTTACCCTCAAGAAGATCCATTTGAGGTCTTGGATTTGAAACTCTATTCAAACAGTTTAAATCTCTTTCTAAAATACTTTGTGTTTTGTTTTGTCTTTTAGGAAAGTGTGTGCCCCTGCTGTCGATCAGTAAGAAGTGCTCTTCAATATGAATACAGGTACAGTATATATCCAAAAACAAGTACAGAGTGCAGCGTTTACAGGATCGTTGGGAAGTCCCCCATCCACCTGTCCAATCCATGTCTTGCTTTTGTTTGGAAAAGTTAAAATAATTTTGTCATGTGGGTTTATCAGCCATGACGGTGTACTCGCTAATGTCAGATGAGCATACATGAAACTTTTACTACAAAACAGTGTCTTATATAAGACTTCAGGTTATAAGTGTAAAATTGATTCATCTATGAGAAAAATGGGAGAAATATAACAAGAAAGAGCATGTTTTACATTTCTGCCTGTCATCATGTCATGATCATAAAATCATTAGTTTGGGATTTTTTAAATTTATTTTTTGGTAATAACCCAATTCAGAATCACGTTGATTTAAAAACAACTAATGTCTCACTTTATCTCTTGTAAATATTTAGATTAGTGGAAGCTAGTGCAGTAAAACATATTGACTTTGATTTGTTCACTTTTGCAGTTCTTGTGTTTGCACAGCTTTTTCCTAATTTTCTATTGAGTGCCAGTAAAAATCAGTTACTTGAAATGCATGTGCTTTGCCTCCAAATCTTCCTTTGTTTGCAATATTATTACTGTAATTATTATCTTCCCGGCTGAATGCATTTGTTTATGGCAGTATGCGCACAAGCATGTGCATGTATGTTTCAGCTTTTGCTTCTATGATCATCTGCCTGGCTGTGATTTCTCAGATAGCGGAGGATATGCTCGCAAATGTGTGGCCTTGTCACTCATGCTCTCTCCCATGAAGAGGGTCCAGAGCTCACCAAATCTAGCCACAGGTACTAACACTCACAGACATACAAATGAACATAACTATTTCCCAAAATAACTCAAATAAAAGGCCGCTGCAAGTGTTGGCTGAGCCAAACTATCGGTCAAGGACATGAGGTACATCTAAGTGGCTTGTTGTTGTTGAAAATCCTGTTATGGCTTGAACATATTTGAAATACTTTGAAATAGGCTGTGGCTGCCTCAGTATGCTTAAGCAATGTTTGGATTATGGGATGCTATTTTTTCCTAATCGGTTCATTGTGTAATTCTTTCATTTCCTTTTGTTCATTTCCTTCTTTTGCTTCCTTCACTCATTCAACATATTTGTATCTACGTGCTGTTATTCTTTTGCTTCTTCTTTGTAAAAGTGATATTATGTTCTCACATCCCACAATGTCTTCTCCCTGTCTATGTGTATATTACCTTAATGTTTTTAAAGGGTTTTTTTTTAATATATGTTTCTTTTTTTGGTTAGGCATTACACTGTTTCCTTGACCTAAGCTAAATTATCTTCAGATCCCGTGTGTACAGAAAATGGCATCGTTAATGAAATGTTACACTAGATTCACCACAGAGTACTATTGTTTGTGAGTTCAGTGTTAAATTAGATTACAGTTATTTGATTGTATTTTTAGTCATAGGAAGCAAGTTCAGTCACTGAAGCAAATGCTGATATCTTTTTATGCCAGGAGTTTGAAATGCAGAAAAAATCATTTTGGCATAGATTTTGATATTACAGTTTGATAACTGTCTCTATAGAGTCTCGATTTCTTGATTTCTTCCTTTTAGATAATTTTAAGTTCACTCAAAGACATTTTTAGGTTATCTCACATATTTTCCTAAAGCTCCAACTTGCCTTTCTTGAAGTGGCTCATAGTGGATTTTACCGTTTGCTTTAGATGATGCTCCTGTTACAGCGTGAAGCGTGAAAATTGCTTCAAGAATGAGTTTTCTGTCTCTATCCTTTAAGCTGACAGGAAAGCAACCTCAAGAGGAAACCCACAGACACGTTGTAGCATTCAGGGGGGAAATCATTAGCTGTTAAAAATGCAGTAGAAGCAGTTCTTGGTAATTAGGTGTGAATTGTATCTTGATGTTTAAGAGCTTTTTAAAAATGTTTGCACAGTAGGTGTATATTGGAGTTTGTTACAGAGATGAATGTAAGGAACACTCAGCCATGTTGCTTATTATTGCTGTGTCCTTTTTTTCCCCAGGGAGTGATTCTCACTCATCGGACTTGGGTAAGTGCCTGATGCTTTTGGTGATTTCTGGTGGACAATCCTAACACTGCTGTAAAACATCCCACATGATCCCAGCAAACTTGGTCAGAAAACATTAGAGTAATGGTAAAATTACTAAATTTATCTTCAGATTCTTGGCGGTCACACAGCGCAACAGACGGCCTTAAAAACGGAGATGCTAGCAGCTCATCGCTTGCTGCCAAAGGCTTTCGCAGCGTCAGACCCAATCTGCAGGACAAAAAGTCCCCCTCACAGGTGAAACATCATTCACAGTACACTGACAGACACTCATGCATTTATTTCTCTGTTGTTGCTATTTAAAATTTAATTACAAGTGTAATTTCATGACGTGATGTGCTTCTGCTGGCTTTTGAGTGTCTGAGTGGGGAAAAAAGTTATTTTTAACGTCATTAGGAATTTGGATAATATACATATATTGTTGCTGTATTCTGAAACAAGTATTTTAAACTTTCTGATCTCATGCTTTGTGCTGATGATTTTTTTTCTGTTTTGTTTTTCTTTTTTGCTGTTTGAACTTACATTGGTTGCCACTTTCTAATTGGCTAACAAGGATATCAGTCCATTGCCATTGCCACCCCCCAGAAAAGAGAGTTTTCACTTCTCGCCTGCAGGCACTAATCCTCAAAATTACAGTTCCCTTATTGGCCTGCCTAATGATTTGAGTCCTGGAATGCTAACAATCACTAAAAATGAGCAAGCAGTCTTGAAAGAGTCCTACACTGTAAGAAGCACATCATCCTACTCATACTCAGAAACCAGTGCAGACACAGTCCACCAGCTGAATGAGTCTGTTGTCTCGAATGACACAAGCAATGCTAATACAAAAGAACGTAAGGTGTCTTCCCTTACACTAACCCCTGTCACCATCCCTGACCCTCCTGCACACCTCAATTCTTGTGTTGATCCCAAACATAAGACCCAAACCACAGGGTCCCCTCCACCCACTTCCTCACCTCCACAAAGAAGTCCCATCCTATCTCAACCCGTGACACAGACAGCTTCGATTTCTGTCCGCTTGGACAAAGAGAATAAAAAAAATCCTGCTTCATCTAAGACAAACTCCAAAGTGGAACTCAAGGTCTCAGATCAAATGGCAGCTCCAGCTCCATCCCAGTTGGAGATGACGAAGCCTCCTCCTGCAATTCCACCAAGGCCCTCTCCTGCAAAACTGTTGGTACATAACTGACTACAGACCGGTACAGCAGAGCAAAATACACAGTTGTGTTCATTTCAAGGTCACTTTAATCCAGACACTGGGTTTATGTCTTGGTGACATCAAGACTGATTAAAGGGTAACACACCAACTGCATCATGTCACTTGGTTGCAGTAGGTCCCCAGAAATAACAGAAGTAGTCAAGCTACTATTACAGTGATGGCCCAAATTCTAAACTAGCTTCTTTTCTTATATGTTGAGTCTGACTGAGGCATTCTGTTAAAGCAGATATACCGTAGGGGTTTTAATGCATGTCTTCTACTTGTGTGTGTTGCCCTTTAGTTCGTTCTTGTTCTTGATAATACCTTCCACTGAACCAAACAGTGATTCTACATTTGTGTGAACTTGTACTGCATTTTAACCAAGTGTATAATATGTTGTACACCACAGTTAATTACCATGTAATCTGGTGCTTTTTCTGTAAAGTGTGAACTAACAAAACATCTTCAGTTTCCAGCATTAATGCATTCAGAAGAGGGTGCTGCAGCTTTATGACACAGTGTGGTTTCACAACAGTAATTCACCTGTTGTCACATGTTATTTTTACACATCCCTTTTGACACCATGTCTAATAAATTATATCACTAAGCACTCTCTTCCTTTCCTCCTTTTCCAATGAATTACCTTTTATTTCAACCTCAGGGGCCTCCCTCGCCTGACCCCACAGCACGGCACTCCCCCTATCGCTACCACAGCTCAGAGTCACTTGACTACCTGTCAGGTCTAATGCCCAAGGCACTATCACCCACTCCGTATGTCCCAAGTGGAGCTGGTGGCACAGCTGGTGCGGCCAGCGGGCCAAGCCACGGCGCAGTCAGCAGTGTGAGCTGTGCCTCGCCCTCGGCTTCCCCCGTTACCGTGTCAGCTCTCAGCCACTACTCGACATCCACGGTCGGTCTGCTCGACGAGCTGCAGATCTGTAGCCTGGACTCGCCTGTCGCCTCACCCACGCCATCGCCCACTCTGAGCCATGTCTCTACCTACACGCCCACTGCTGGCCGTGATGATGTGCTAACAACCTCTGTGGCCTCCACTGCTGCACCAGCCACTTTCACTAATGTAATTATCCAAGTCACCTCTATAACATACATCATTACCAAGAACAGTTGGTTCCCACGCTCCCTGCACTCATTTTGATGGCTGAATCAGAACTCTACAAAGTGTGTGATCACTACCAATTTTTAACTTTCACTAACTGTTAGCTACACCCTGCCTGTCAGATACTGAAATTAAATCCAGCCCTCTTCGTTCCCTTATTATGTTACTGTCTGTACTCATTCAAACATGTCTATGCGTGTCTATATTTCTCCTTCTTTTGTCGTTTTTGCCATTGTGTGCTATTACACTGTTTCTTAAGGCCAGTTCATATCAAAAATTCATGATGCAATGAAGTGATTTTTCTAAGGTGAAGGTGAAGTACTCTGCTGGAAGCCATTAGCTATGGGTTATTAGCGTCTAAAAAGACTGAACTCCTGCTGTTTTTATTTTTCTTTTGTTAGCACTGCAGCATGTGTTTGGACTGTAATTATGTGACCATTCAGCTCATTATATTACACTGCGAATAGACATATTCTGCTTTATTGTTTCTCTATGTTATGCTAGGAGAACATACATGTGTATGCTGTGTTTGCAGTTATGCAAGTATGATATTGAAAGCAGTAGATTTCACTTTGGTAAACTTGTTTCTTAGTATTTTAATCTAATTTTTGCCTTTGGGGAAAGCATGCAGTGCTTTGCAAATGTATGTAACTACACTGCTAATCGCTATGTGGATAACAAGTGTTTGCAAAAGTATTCTAAATACAGAATCCTTCAAACCTTTTTTTCAATGAGATATACAATGTTACCATGAGAAGTTAATTAGTCATTTTTGTTGTTTCTTCCTGTTAAAAGGGAGTTTTTCCTTCCCACTGTTACAAAGTTTTTGGTCATAGGGGGGTTGTCTGATATTGGGGTTTTCTCTATTATTGTAGGGTCCCTACCTTACAGTATGAAACACATTGAGGCACATTGGCGCTATATAAATAATACTTTATCTTTCTGCTATATGACCACTATGACTAAAATATCATATTGGCCTTTCTTTATTCAGGATATTAAAAAATCATATTCTAATAAGTAGCTTTAATTAGTATTCTCTGTGTAAGTAGCTTAGGGTACTACAGGCAAGCAATCTCACTTGAACCTATGTATAAAAATAATAATAAGTGTGTGTGTGTGTGTGTGTGTGTGTGTTTTTGTTTTTTACATAATTTTATACTACTCATATGACAACATAATAGCATTGTAAGCCAAGCACACTTAAAAAAGCAATTCGTTTTTTAGTCACTCTTTCTTTGGGTTAGCTGAGTCGAAGATGATGGTGCTCTGGCTCTGTAGTACATCCCTCTTGTTTCACCATGAATCTTTGGTGTGAACAGGCAAACTTTAAAACTGAAATGCAGTGCTGTGAAAAAGTATTCGCCCTTCATGAGTTCATAGATCTTTGCTTAGTTCTCACACGTTTCAGAAAATATAACTATGCCACCCACAGCAGCAAGTATAACTGTCAATGATCTGTGTCAGATCGCTATGAAGGAATGTTGTCCCACTCTTTGAAGAATTATTTCAGCTTTGCAGGGTTTCCAGCATGAACAACCTGTATAATGTCATGCCAGAAAGTCTCAATGAGATTAAAGTCCAGACTTTGCCTTTTGGTTTGGTTTGGTTTGGTTTGTTGGTTGTCTTTTGTATCCAAGTCTTGGGGATCATCAAGATGTTTTCTGGTAAATGTGAGACAGTCGCTCTGTTCTTTTCGGTCAGCAGTGATTTGCTCGTTGGAACTCTCCCATGGATGCCATTTTTTTCCTCTTAGTAAATTAAATCATCATTTAAAAACTGCATTGCTTTTACGTGGGTTATCTTTTTCTAATGTCAAAAATTGTTTTATGAGCTGAATCATTTAAGAGGGAGAAATTTGGGGGAAAAAACAAAACTATGAAATCAGGAAGGGGGTAAATGGTTTTCACAGCACTGTACAGTCTTTTTATTCTTTTTCAGTTAATGTAACTTCTTCCTGTGGCATATTGAATGGGAAGAGCATCCCATTGTAAAGATATCATGTCCACTATCTTGTTTATGTCAGATGTTTGTTAACTAATTAATGAGATGTGTGAATGTGAATGGGCTTACTGTCTCTGTTTTAGTCTTTTGTTTTTTGTTTTTTTTCTTTTTTCATGTATTTTATGTACACTGTGACATGTTTCAGTGAGTGACCCTTCCCCCCACTAACTGTCTTTATGTTTTAGTCACTTCAGATTCACAACTTACTGTGAATCACGTTCACTGTATGTTCACATGTCCATCCACTCTTAATCAGAACTGGTTCTTTTACCCGCTCTGATTGGAACAATGTGAATACTAATGTTGGATGGTAAGACTTTGTAATAGCCATTGCTAATAAACCACAAATTGATTGTTAATTAATCTTTACTAAGTGGTTAATTTACTATAAACAAACGATGATTTGTTTTAGTGTTAATGAAGTTATAACTTAGATTTAGTAGCTGTTACATTATGATGTCACCAACACAAGCAACATTTTATAAACTTCTGTTATGTGTTTATTGCAAAACCGCATTAGCATTTCGGTAATGATTAACCTGCCTGTTCTCACTCCTGGGGGATTAAATACTGCTGTTTATTCAACTGTGCAGGTGTCTCACATGTATGCACAAGGTGTCCTTTAGCCTTGGTCGTATATTGGTTCCTTGAATATTTACCCAAACCACAATCTTTTCATAAACATATGCAGTATTTTGAGGGCCTACAACAAATGTAAACAGCAAGTGACAATAAAACTACACACCGACACAGACGTCACTGTCCAGGTTCCCAACTCTTATGATTTTTAGTCCACTAGTATCCATCCTTAGCAATGGTTATCATGAAGTGTTACCTGGCGGCTAATCCTTTTGTTTCCACAATTTTTTAAAAATATATATATTATGTTAAGCCAATGTTATAGAGCTTTACAACCGTAAGTAGTGTAGGTTTTGTCTGCTGTTGGTGATTTTCTTACACTCCCTGTTTCTGGGTTTTGGGTCACTCCTAGGGCCAGGTTCTTTCTCACGCAATGAATGGAAGTACTAGCCATCCACATAGGCCGCTGTCTCCCCCATCATATCCTCCACCTCCTGTCTCACTCCACACGGGGCTTCAGAGACAGAGCAGGAGTTCAGGTGAGTCACTGATCTGTGATGATATATGACATGCCTAAAAAGATTGAAAGACATTAGACTTAAGACTTAAGACTACACAAGCACATGCAGAAAATAGACCCTAAAATCAGTCAGATAATTGAACTGAAACATCTCACAGAGGAGCAAACCTTACATCATTTCTTACATCATTGTAAATGTAAAAGGATCTTTACAGTGTAACTGTAAACATTAAGATGCTAAGTAAGGTGTATGTATCTATGTCTCAGGATTCATATATAATCTATATCTGTTGCAGTCTATCCATTACAAACATTTAACTGGAGCTTGTGGAGGACCTGTATTACTAACACATCTGTCTCCTCTTTCTCTGCTTCTTTCTCGGATCCAGAGGGCAGTGAAACAGTCACCAGAGAGTCTGTGGTGTCAGGGCACACCAGCATCAGCAGCACTGTGCCCATTGCCCGTTTCTCAGAAGAAGAAAAGAAGGTGTCGGTCATTAAAGCCCCCCACTACGAAGGCATCGGCCCAGTTGATGAGTCAGGCATTCCTATCGCCATCCGCACGGTGAGAGAACTCGTACAGGGAGCTCAACATATTGCTTTCCAGTAGACCTCCTCTTGTAGATGCTGTAGTAAAGTTTCTTTGAAGCCATTTTCTCCTGCCTTCTTGTGTGAACAGGTTTTTTTAAGCAAGGAATTACTTGAAGCTGTCAGCAGCTTTTGACCCCATGTTCAAAGATTCTCTCCCACTCTCACTATCTCAGTTTCGCTTCCTTCTGTGTGCTAGTCATGAAGATGAGCTCAAACAAGGTCTTTGCTTTGGTACTACAAGGTCCTTGCTGATTACTTGTCAAGGAGCGTGTCCCTGTATATTATCTCTGTTAAGGCTTTCCGTGTATTAACACTTCACTCAGTTATCGGTTGGTTGAAGAGCAGCATTTAAAGGAATGCACGCTGAGCTACAAAATGAGAGAAAGAGAAATGGGGAGAATAAGAGACGAGCAATAAACGAAAAGAGTTGAAAAGAGACGAAAGCAGGAGAGAAGAAAAACAGATGCTCCTTGTTTTAAGCGGGCAAACATTTTTGTGGCCACTCTGTTTGGTAACCGTGGAGAGTGAAGTGGTAATTGGCGCGTCTCTTGGCTGTGCCAGTGCTGCGTGCACAGTCACACACTCTTTCTCTGTGGAGCCAAACTGCCTCCTCTCTGACCGGAATCCAGGCACATTGTTTAGTGCTACTGAATAAAGAGAGGATTAAGTCTCTCTGCCATTTGATGGGTCTTTTTTTAAGTGTCTGTTAGATCTATACTGTTTACACAAAGGCACACATACCAGGGTCTCTCCCTGATTCTCCAGCCACAGCAAGCAGAGCCCCCACTTTGGTTTTGTACCAACAAGGATTTGACACCTTTGTGGTTCAAAACTGAACCTGCTGAGGCAGCTTGACTTGAACATACACACCGATAGTCATACCAAAACAAACTGACATAGTAGTCATTCAGGTAAGTGATAGTGTATCATTTGTGGCTATTTAAACTACTGCATTTAAATATTTTGACCTTACATAAACATCATGTTTTTTGTTTTTTCAATTGCTCATTTTAAGATCTCAAAGTCATAGTTATAAAGAAGGACCCCACAGCCCTACTAAGGGCTGCAGCAAGTGTCTGATTTTAGAATATTACAAAAGTAGTTGCCCATGCTACAGTATCGTTTGTCCTGTTGACACTTAATCACACTGAGAAAAGCGTAAAAAAGGAGTGGTAGATACAGGCCATATGCTAATAACGGATCATTTTAGCCCATTGCTAAGTAATGATGTCATGTAATAATAATGTACCATGCATAATTTGAGTTTTGTGTATACATGTTGAATGTTATTCTCATGAAATTAAACCTATAAGATGCTTTTATAAGGTGTTATTGGCACAAAATGCTAAAAATTAGTAATTTCAGCCATTTTGTTTGCTTGCAAAAATGACGATATAATAGCTGATATAACCAAAAAATGTCCTAAAGGTCTCTGAGGAATACACAGACACAAACAGAGGTTCCACATATTATCCACATATTTAAACACTATCATCACCAAATATTCTAAAAATCTGTTTTTTCACAGCTCTTGTGTTTCTTTTCATATGAATATTCAGTGTAAGTTCTTGGTGAGACTTATTATCAAAATTTCTGGCAAACTGATATTCTGAAGCTGTCTAAACAAAAGACTATCTTAACCTTTTAAAACATTAACAAATGTCAAATGAAAACAGTTATACAAGTTACAAACACACTATATGTGAAAAGCAGCCATACAGAGCAGGAGTTGTGTGAATAAAGCAACTTTAGCCAGTGGTCAGACACTAGCCTGATATTAGATGTAAGGATGCACCAACTAAACGTTGGCCAGGGTTTCATAATTAGTGCTTACTTAATTTAACGGGTTTGTTTGTTTAATCAACAGAAAACAACAACACACAAGCGGCCATGACAGAATAACCTTATTGGCAAACATAAATATTTCTCTTGGATAAGACGCAGTCTTGGTTTTATTCTTTATATTAGTTATATTTATATTAGTATTAGTCTGTTTATATTAGTTCAATTATTTATATTATCCCTGTGTGAAGTATAAATGCTTCAAAAGGCTTACTGTGTTTTTTCAGCTCTAGAATGTCCAATAACATGTTGTGAGTCCGTTTATAGTTTCTAAATTCAGCCTTCACATTTGTGTTACATTTAACAGCACATAACTCTTTATGGTTATTTCTTTGTCTGCAGACAGTGGATAGGCCCAAAGACTGGTACAAAACTATGTTCAAACAGATTCACAAAGTTCACAAAGCAGGTAAGGCCTCTGCTGTAGCGTGCTGAAATGATGTGCAACTCATGTGAAGATTATTAGACATTTCATGCAGAATTGGTCATGTATGCATGCTGTTTGTATGCGTGTGCATATTTTGTGTGTGTGTGTGTGTTTGCATGCCAGTTCTCATTAAACCAAAAGACCCAGATGATCCCAGAGCTCGTTAGATTGCGAGGAGGAATGGAGAGAAACCTCTAATAGACACAGAGCCATCCTGGGAAATCTGCTCTAATTTTGTGGGCTTGACAGAATCACAGAATCAGTACAAGGCTTGTTTGTTCTAAACTGCTCAGCCTTCTGCTACAAGAGCACACACAAAAAACTCATGCACTCTCAAATACACAGACTATTTCATGGGTGTGTGCGCTGAGAACTCATCCAAAGGCTCATTATGGTCTTGATGCATTTTATTTTTGTGATTTTACTGGAAGCACAAACAGTAGTATGCTTTCCCCATCCTGCAACCTTGATTCGTTTTAGTCAGAATTTCAGTCATCTTTCATCTTTAAAGTTCAGAAAGAGTTCTGGGAAAGTGGATCATGTTGCTTTGGTGCTTTTAATATACTTGTAGCTGAAAAGAAAATTACTTGTGTAACTGTTCATTTCCAGGCTGGTTAAAAGTGCTATCTTTGAGGACAAACTTGTACCCTGTGTACAACAAAGTGTGCTTACACGTGTTCCCAATCAACTGTTTTGTACATTTCCTCTACAGATGACGACTATTCCGACACATACAATGCTTCATATGCTCTCGTAAACAATGGTGAGACCTGCTCCTGTGTAACACAAGTTGTATTTCCTAAAAATCAATAATTTCTTCCCAACCTTCCTTTCTGGCTTACTGGCCTCATTGCTTCTGCCTCCACTCTCTCCTCCATCCTGTCCTTGCCAGATAACTACAGCCTGTCATCCAGCACCACCATGGCCCACCCTGCCCCTCGGACACATACCTACAGGCCTCTGTCCAAGAGCCCCTCGGATAACAATGAAGGGCATCTTGGACCTCGGGAGCTTTCACCATCCCCTGTACCCCCACCACCTCCACCCATGCCATCCCTTCTCCAACTGAGGGCGAGAGACAGTGATCGCGAGAGGGACTTGACAGACGCGTAAGTGCAAACTTTCTCAATATTAACTAATATTGATGATATATTGATATGCTATAATATTTTTAATAATCTTTATTTTAATGTCAGTTATCTCGAGCGTTTTTTCTGAAAAAGCATGTGTTTGTTTCTCTCACACCAGCAATGAATGGGGTCCTCCAGACCGAAAAGTGGACACGCGAAAGTACCGCGCAGAACCCAAGAGTATTTTTGAGTACGAGCCTGGGAAGTCCTCTATCTTGGAGCATGAAAGACCAGTGAGTAATTTTCTTTTTTTTTTTTTAAAAATACTGAAATTCTCACCCCTCTTAAAATATGCAGAAACATGCCTCCCTGTTTATCTTCACCCTGGCATCGTGTGAGAACGGCGACACATCAAGTGATTTCCTCACAGTATTTCTTGTTATCGTTTGATAGAAGATTAAATAATTCAGTCACTGCTCAGGCTGTTTTTAGAGTGAAAAAATAGTCACAGGCAAGAGCGCCTTTTTTTTTTTTTTTTTGTTGAAACTTGCTAGTCTGGTAGACAGACATTAGTATGTCATTATATTGTTGGCTTTCACATGGCTCTCCTTCTGTCAGAGACAATGTGGGCGTTAAAAGCTTCCAGTGCTTACATCCGCTAGCGACAGTACTCAGTGTTAATGTTTGTGTGGGGTGAAGGACAAAGCACATAGCAGGAAAAAAATGCAAAAACTGACTGTGTTGACAGGCGGAACTGAAAAAAAAATTGTATTTGAGATTAGGAATAATGGATAATGTGTTACAGATGAGTTGTCTTTGCAAAAAAAAAAAAAAAGGAATAAAGGTTTTGTGGATGTTTCGCAGATGTTTAATGTGATGACTGCTGAGAGTGCTACCAGGGCAATAATGCATGAGTCAGTTCCCGATAGGCAGAGGTAATAAAGGAGAAAGCTGTAGAAGGACCCACGCTGTCTAATGTGCTGCTCGGTATAATTTTTTTTTCTCCATTAACCAAAGTAAAAAAGTGTCCCCCCTAAAACAACCTGTATGTTGATGACGCACCCGTTTGGGTAATTATGGCCTTTAAGAGGCAAAAAATGTTTTTTTGTTACTCTTGTTCTTTAGATGTGTGTGTGCAAGTGTCTCTAATGCATTTGTGTGATTGGCAGTCTCTGCTCCAGGCTTCTGGGGTTTTTTTTGGTTTTTTTTCCAGGGTGACTCATCCATCTGAAAGCTGAATTTTCTTTTAAGCCAGAGATGTAGCACTACAACACCTACAAAACATCTCCTGGCAGTTTTTCATTTGGCATGAAAACTCCATTTTATGTGGGATTGGGGTTAGAAAGAGCAGACAGCGTGGTAAAACACACAATGCCATTTCTACAGTTCAAGTAACCGTAAATGGAAACAAATCAAACAAGCTGACCTTTTATTTAAACGTGTCTTAAAAGGCATCGAGACATACAACAAAACTAAGGCAACTAAAACATTAATATGGACATCATTTTAAAACATGAAAAACATCTAAATGTTGTCTTTTTTCATTCAAAAACATTCACTTCTGAGTGGTTCATGGTGCTGTTTGTGCTTGATGTTTATAGACTGTATAAATGCATACAGCAGCACAAAAGAGTAGTCAGCTACAGTTATTATTTACATGTTTAGCCTGAGCCCTTTTTGGATTGTGGCAGTTTGTTGCTCTAGACTGACTGACCACTTGAGCTGTAAATGGGCTCTGCTGCAACACTTTTGTTTCCATGGGCAAGCCTTCATCCTGGTTCATCCTGTGCCCATCTCCCTTTGCCACCTGTGCCCATTCCTAACCACGAGGACCATGTCTCTCTTTGTGTGTGACTTCTTTCCACACTTCCTTTCTCCTGTCTTTCTTCTACTTCCTCTCTCTGTCACTGTCATGCTTTCCCAGACCTATGATGACATAGATTTAGAGAACGAGCCTTGGTATAAGTTCTTTTCCGAGCTGGAGTTTGGGCGGCCGGTAAGTCAGGGCCTAGCTACTCCTTTAAACACAACTCTCTCATAGGCATACACCCACTATCTCCACTCCACCCAGGACTTTTTTTATGTCTGTGCTATTAGACTGGGTGGGGCTAGTTGTTTGGGCATGTGATACTTGTTTGGTGCTTGTTTGGTGCCCCCTTCCTTACCCCCAAAACACCTTTGTGACAAACTGCGGTATATCTCTATGCTGCTGGGGTTTTTGGTTCTTTGACTAGCAGGCACTAAAATGCTCCCACGTGAACCTGGACACTTTTATTTCAGTTGGTTCATTTCTGCATCTTGTTCAAAAATAAGCAGGAAATGGTTTAAAGGCAGTGGCCTCCAAACGTTTGAGATAACTTGAGGTCGTGAACAGTCAAAACATTAATAAAAAAGATGCAGTAGAAGAGATTCTACTGATATTTACTTTTTGCTCTAAACTCTTTCTTAAATAATTTGTGTAATTTTGTTCAGTATCTATCATACAGTACTTTGCGAAAGTCTTTAGCCACTTATCAATTCTTCATATTTAGCATCTAAGAAACCAGACTTTCTTGTAATTTCTTTAGTTCTCTGGGCTTTCTGAAGTTTTTCTTTGGACATTGGCTGCTTTTTCAATCTGCTTTTTCATTCCAGTCATTCTGCATCACCATTTTCAGAAGAATGTGTTTTTGTTAGCTAAGCCTCACAACGCAGACCTATGAATCATTCAAGCATGAAACGGGCTCTTAAGTCAAGGAATGAATCAGTGTTGTCTCTACACATATGACAACTTGGCAAAGAAGCAGTTTTAAATATTACCTTTAGGCACTTTGTTACTAGCAGCCTGTCACGAAAAACACATCATTTGTTCCCATTTCTTTAGCTAAATCCATGAAAATAGTTGACAGGCATAACATAACATACTATTGTTGTAAAACTTGGTGTGCAGTGTGAGTTTTAAAAATTTCTAGGAAACTGGACAAGTTGGGGACAAAACAAGAAATGACCTAAGAAGGCATAAAAAATGGTTACAGCTAAAAGTCATGTCCTCGAGAAGTAGGAAAAAATCAGTAAAGACCTGACAAGACCTGAGAGATGCAGCTAATCCTTCAGCTGATTGGCAGCAGGCTTTATAGTCATGAATCTGAATTTGAAACTTTTTGTTCACAAATTGTAATCAGTATGTACAGAGGAGGTCTAGAGAGAGGTACAACAGTGTCTGCAGCCATCTATAAAACACAGTGGAGGCACTGTCATGGTTTGGGGCATTTCAGCCAGTGGTATTGGGAGAAAGCGTCTGGTGGCTTCATTTTTCAGCATGATAATGACCTCAAAAACAATGCCAGTGCTGCAAAAGCATACCTAGGAACTAAAACACTATCAGTCATGTATTGGCCTTCCCAGAGCCGGGACATTAATATTAATGAAGCCTTGTGGTATCATCTTGACAGAGTACAAAACAAAAGGAAGAAACACTGAAAAAAGAACTGGAGCCTGGAAAACTATTGCTGAAGTCTACTTAAAGAAATGACAAGAAAGCTGCCTGAGAGAGTTCAGACTGTGGTGAAGAACACATAAAGAATAAGAATGGCTCAAGACTTTTGCGTAGAACTGTACATGCCAGTATTTATTTGTCAATCTGCCTTTACATACCCTGTTTATTCATTCGACCCTTGCAGTACTATGAGGGAATTCTCTGCATACTTTGAAGCTAAATGCTTTAGTGCCCTCTGATGGATGTAAGTGGTAATAATGTCATAGTGACTTGAGGCAGAGATAGCCTCTAGTCATAAATGTGGGATCAAATTACCCACAACCTGTCTGATTTACAAAGTGTCACATGGACATGCCTCTGTCCATGCCAGCGCATGACATCAGGTGTTGACTTGCTGGGCTTATTCGAAATGTTCAGGTGAAAATTTCACATTCAGATCTGGCATGACTTTCTGTCTTCTCACAGTCATGTTTAGCTGTTTTGTGAGATTTCTACCTGCAATGTTTTCACTGTTTCACATCACTCAATAAGCCCTTAGAGTGTAGACATTTTATCTGACTGATACAGCCACGGTCAGAACCACACACTGTGTTCAGTTTTCGATTGAGGCGATAAGTCACAGCATTTGATTGTGCAAGTCCTTGCACTCTCAAATAAACACAATGTCGCAGCTTGTGCTTCACTTTGCTTTTTGCTTACAGCTTGTTCTTACACTCTGCATGTGTGTGTGGTAAATAGGCACAGTTGCGTGTGTTGGTGTGGTTTATAGGCTGGTGTAGTAGGCCTGCGTTGTTTTAGCATCGACAAGCTGCAGTTTAAGGGAAAAAAACGAATAAATAGAATACATTAGAAAGTGCATATCAAAGAACGTGTGTGATGAATAGATATATGTAGGTGTGTGTCAGTGTGTTGGAGTAAGTGCACACGTGTCTGATACAAGCAAATCACATGTGCTGTGGTTGTCTGTGGTTACTCAGGTTCTCTAACAGGTGTCACTCTCTCCACATGTTTTTTTTTTTGTGTTTCCCCCCCATGATGTCACCACCGCTTCTCCTCCTTCACCTCCTCCATCTTCACCTTCTTATTCCTCCTCCTCTTCTCCTCCCCTTCCTGCTCACTGCTGCTGCTTGGGGCTCAAGCCTCCTAAAAAACGGCTGGATTATAATCCAGACATCTCCGCTCGCCAGCGCATTGAGGTAATCTCACATTCACAAGTGTTCCAGTAGTGTTAATTGTACCATTTCTAACCCGTCACAGCAATCAGGATCTCGATTGCTAAGACATATTTAAGATACGACTGCTAAAAATGAATGTACTGTGAGTTTAAATTAAAATGCTAGCCATTTACTAAAATTTGAGTGGGTTGTTTTGTGAAGGCTGTTGAACATTTGAAGCTTTGAAGTGCTGGTTCATGTCATTCTTTTTTATTACCTTTGGTAACATTACAGTATGAGCTCAAAACTTTAGAAAACCAATAGATGCTTCAGACATAAGTGTCCATCCATCATTTTTCTCAATCCAATTCAGTCTACTTCATGATCATGGGGGTCGAGGACTAGCACCTACCCAAGTCATCATAGGGTAATCACACATTTATCCCAGTATAAATGTGATTGCAATCGATGCTGTTGATTTCCCTACTTTTGTCATCAGCGTTGAACACTCTATACCACTAAGACCCATTCCAGCTGATCCATGCCAGTTTTTGCAGGGTAACATTTGCCCCCCTGAGCTGAACCTCCATAACACCCTTCAGTGCATCACCTTTTCCATCATCCTTCAGAGCAGCACGACAGAGACCAGAAATTTGTCTTCGGTATGTGTGCACCAGCAGGGCCTCTTCTCGGTCAGGTGTGCCACGTGGAACCAGCATCCATTGCGCCTTACGCTGGGGGAGTGTTTTGAGTGTGGCACAGCAACAACCGCATGCAGGCTGTGTATTGTAAGCTGCTCTGCCTCAAGTCTTTGTTCCTGCAGGGCTCACTTTTCTCTTTTGTTGTCTGCCCTATTCCAGACATCCCTCCACATCACTCCTGCTGACAAGGCTCCAGAGAGACCTGCAAGGTAACTGCTGCTTCTTTTATTTTCCTCTGCATCACCCTCATCCCCTCTTCCCCCTCCCCCATCCTTTCACCAGCAGCTGTCCTTGTTGTGATTCAGCTCAGTAGAAAAACTAAGGTCTTTCTCACATTGTCGCTCGCACAAACATCCCGTGCGTGTCCAGTAAATGATGACTTGTGAAGTCTTAATTTTGCTTTTGTCACTGATGATAGGGCGCCTTGCCTCTTTTTTTTTTTTTTTTCACGAGCTGAGCCAGAATAAATGAACCCAGCAAACCTATTGATGCTCAACCCCCGTTCCTCCCCTCATCCCACTCCCTTTCATCAATGGCCTGCTTATTCGGATGCATTATACAGAGCGGGGATGTGATGAATAGGCCGGGTCATTTATTTAACTGTCCTGAATAGAAAGCCCCCTTGGATTTTAACATTTAACATTTAAAACTCAAGTTACTTTATTCCCTTTGTTTTGTTTTTGGATTTAAGTATAATCTGGTACTTTCTATGATGATCTTAGATATACTGGAAATGTATTCAAGGTTTTCATATTGATCATAGTGATTTTAACATTCTCTCAATATATAAAACCTATAAAGTATTCTATGTAAATTCAACATCTCCTTTTGTCAGTAGCATCATTTCTTACAAAAGAGGTTATTTCTTAAAACTACTGGGTTACTTTTAATTTATTTTATTTTTGCCTGTTGTCAATTCAACCACTCATGACTTTGGTAAATAAACAGTGCTCCCACAGGAGATTTATAGTGTCTGTATTCGCCTTCTGCAAACTGGATTCACTGACTATTTGGCCCATTCTTTACTGTAGTGCTGCCAGTGACTACAGGAAGAGAAGGAAGTCTGAGCCGTCAAGCTCCCAAGTGAATGCTCCATCTCAGAGCCGAGCTGCAACTTCCCCTAAACCAGTGGATGCCTACAGACCCAGCAGCAGCCTAAAGAAACCCGTCATTCGTTCCTCACCATCCTCACCCTCCAGAGCCAAAGGTAGCCACGCTTTCACAGATGCAGCTTCTTTCACTTCTGGGTTTTTCATGAAAAGAGAAAAAAAATTGTATTTTGCTGTTTGGCAAAGCCAGAAGAAAGTTACCATTACTGTTTAGCCACCAAAGGTTCACCCTAGGTCAGGTTGTGTTTGTTTTCCCTTCTTTTCCCAACACATGCATGTGAACTGTGTTTATATGATTTTGTTGGGATTTTTGCAATATGATGCCTTTCTGGTATAAACCTTAAAGTTCACTGATTGGTGGAAGTCTGAAGGAAAAAAAAAAGAACATCAAGTCATCTGTTTTTTCCATCCATTCTTCTCTCCTGTTTATTCTCCCTCTCCCCAGCTCTTCTACTATTTTGCTGGGTATTATTTCTTAACTTGCTTTCCTCCTTCTTCTCTCTCACCACGCTGCTCTCTATTGGACATCTAAAAGGTGGGGACGCATGCAGCATGTATTCAAACAGTTTGACCTCTCCAGGTCCTTATCAGCAGCCCTTTGTTCCCCCAGTCCCATCTGAGCCTCTCAATTCAAATGAGGATGGCAGCCAAGATGGCAGCTCTTCCTCCAAACAGTCTGTCTGTTGTAAGAACAGCTGGCAGACAAAACACCAGAATGCTGAGACGTGGAGCAGTGCAGAGGAAGCGCCATCTTCTCCTGCCAAGCTAAAGTCACGCAGTTGTGATGACCTACTCAACGATGGGCGTTCTAGCTCGGGTGGACGAAATGCTACCCGCTCAGAGAGTGCTGGGTCACTGGTATGCGATGGAAATATCTCCACAGTATCATCATCTACTCGTTCATTACCCCGTCTCCATCGACGACGAGCACACGACTCGCCGGGCTTTCTCCAGCTCTATCGAAAGATGCACCAGATCGACAGAGCTCAGCTAATTCCATCTGAAGTCATCCGGTCGGTCCGTGCTCGCATCCTGGATCTAGAGCGTCAGCCTCATCTGCTTCGGCATCGCCTCTCTCCTTGGACACCCTCCTGGGGTGTGGAAGTGCCACGTGATATGGTGCCAAACCGCATTTCTGAATATGAGCGTCTTATTCAGAAATCCAAATCCATGCCTAACTTGGGTGATGGCGAGGTGCCTTCAGGCACCACCACACCAGGTGGCTCATCATCTCGAGCTAGCAGTGGTGGTGGTGTCACACCCAGTTATCCAAAACGCCGTTTTTCAATAGAGTCTTTACTGGAAGAAGACAACAATGGAAACAGTGGAACAGTACCTCAAACCATGGATCACTTACACCGACCTCGTAGCCCCCCTGAGGGACAGCCTCGTGTTGGACCAGACCTTGGGCGTGGACGGTCCTTCCCCGCTCCTCCTGTTCTCCAAGGCCCCCAAGCCAACCCAGACTATTCTGACAGTGAACAAGACGCTGTTGCCTCTGACCTCAGTGACTTCATTCAGGTTGAAGGCTCGTCATTTTGCAGTGAGAGTGACTTTGACCATTGCTCACTAACCTCCTCTGAGAGCCTATACGGCTCTTCCACCCTCCACCACCATCACCACCACCTCCGTCACCACCACCACCATCACCACCATCATCCTGGTCACCAGAGTCTTAGCCAGAGCCAAGGCTACCAACACCGCCATCTCATCAGCACCTGCAAAGGCCGCTGCCCGGCTTCATATACCCGTTTCACAACCATGATACGTCATGAGCGGGAACGCGCGCGACAGGAGCACCAGAGACCTTCACAGCAGACCCACAGCAGCCATTCCCAAAACCAGAGCTCACAATCCCAGCAATCGATGTCCAAGCTGGCCTTCCTGGTCAGTCCAGTGCCTTTCCGCAGGAAAAAGGGCTCACCACCTACCTCTAGAAGATGCAGTGGGGGCGGAGGTCGAGGTAGCAGACCCAAGTCTAAACAGGCAATTTACGAAGCGCTAGATGCAGCTTTGAGAGACATATATGAGCACATTCAAGCAGAGAGAGGCCACAGAAACCCTCGGGCACCTGATGATAGCATCCTGAGAAGAATCTTGGCAGAACTGCTGCCAAATGTGCCAGAACGCAGCTCCTCGTTGCGGGGAAGGAGGGGGTGTTGGCACGGCGGTCACTCCTCTGCATCGTTGTACCCAGACAGTAGCCCCACTGGGTATGCCTCATATAGAGGAGAGCCCTCAACACCACGGTTACAGTCACCACGGATACAGTCACCAATCAGTGCCTGTTATGGACGACAGTTGGAGACCTCAAACAACAATGATTATGGAGTGGAGCAGGGCAATGGAAATGGTCTCTGTTACTCAGGTGGAAATAACACACATGTAACACCTCAGATACACACTACACTTGGCAGTCACTTAACATGAGTGTGTTTCACAACAAATACATGCATGCATACAAGCATAAATACACGAAGGCACATATGCATCCACTTACATTTATCTCAGTGTCTCTTTCAGTTTGCCCAGTTCTCCTCATTGATCTGCCGACACTTCCATTACCATGCTTTTCTGTTTAATTGTATGGCATTGATTAAGACCCATTTACTGTAAATTCTCAAGACAAATCTGGATATTTGTTTATTTTGTTAAGTTAATGTGAGTGAAGCTTCCTGCTATTTTTTTTTTAGTAAAATAAGAGGACAGTGCTTCTGCTTTAATTTGAAACACTGCACAGAATGTCGAGTTTTATTGGCAGATCCTCAATGAACAGATGAAGAAAACAGTGGAGAAGCTGAACTATTACAGTGAAATAGTACAAAAGTACAGTGAGGGATACAAATGACATGGTCCAAGTATAATAAGTCTGTTTTAGCACTGATGAAAAGGGTTTGAAACAGGAGTGTGATTGTTTCAAATGCTGGCTTTGTTTTCTGCAGTTTTGGAAGACAGATATTTGAGAATTTACAGTATATTGCTCTGTAATCCTGTCTCAAAGATGTAATATTTCTTTACACCTTACTTTTAGGCTCCTAATGAACAAGTCATTAACTGGATTTTGGAGTTTGGCTATACAAATAATTGAATTCTCTCACCAGAAGCCGGGGTTTCCGTGTAGACTTGAATTTATAGTTGGGTTTAGGCAGTGATAAAGCTTGTTTTGTGTCTCAAATCACAAAACTGAACAGGATGTGTAGTTACTTCAGGTGGATATTGATCAAACACTTTTGTTTTAAATGTGTTGTCAGTGAATGTGTTCAAAAAAATCTACTTTCATGTTCAGAGTAAGAAATAATAATCTGGTTACAGTTTCCTACAAACTGTATTTGTTATTTCAGTTTATTTGTAAAGAAATATAACTTCTAAGAGACAAGGTTGATGTTTGGGGTAAATTGTTGTGAATGTTCCTTTTTTTTAAAGCAATTTTTTTTTACTTGTATCATTTGTCTGTTTTGAACATTTATTTATAGTTATCGCATTATTACCAGGTCATTTTCTTTCCCGTAATCCTTTTGATCCTACGTTTTTGTTGTCTGTCATATTTTTTTGCTCTGTATTCCCCGTGTTTCATTTTGTTTTCCGGGTATTTTGTAGCATCGCATGTGTCTATTTGTGCTGTTGTCCAATCACCTTGTTTTCTCCTATGAAAAACAAATAAAACACACCTGTTTATGACCCAAGCTTTCATTCCCTCATTTACCTGTTTGAGTGGCATCATCACTGTTTCCCAGATCACACTTTGTATTGTAGGTGATGTGGCATGTTCCCTTTGTAACTCAGTGAACCTTTTCATGTGTCTCTGCTAATCACAGACCATGACATCTCCAGGAGTTCCACCCTGGATGGACGCCACACACCCCAGAACAGAAGACCCACTCCTGACAGAGAGGTACAACATTGGAACTGGTGGTGCACTTAACACATTTATACACAGTGCATTTCTCTCAAATAACATGTAATCAATGTGCTCAAATGGGTAACGTCTTTGTCTTTAATTTCCCAGTTCTGTAGCACATTGATATTTATATTTATTCTTAAAAATTCAAAATAATTATGTTACATACGTGTTTTATATACCTGGTAATGCTTGTGGGCTTTCTTTCTCTCACTCCACTCTTTTAGGTCTCCCATAAACAGATGACACAACTTATTCTGTTCTCTCTCCTCCATCAGAAACAACCTGCAAGAGCCATTTATGATTTTAAGGCACAAACGAGCAAGTGAGTACAACAAGCTTAGAGTGCACGCGTGAGAGAGCCGAGTGTAAGAACGCAGACATCTAACTGCACGTCCGCAAACTCAATGTCCTTTATTTACATTTTGTAGTTGTAATATTGCTTTTATGTATACCAGTATAACGCCTTACCACCATACTCTGATGGGGGTTTTCTTTTAGATGTATGCATGAATAAAGCCGCTTTCTGCATTGCTGTCTCTTATTATTTTGCTCTTATTATTTATATTATTTTGCTTTCCTGGCTGACATTCTGTCACCGATGCTCGTGCTGCAGAAGTCGCCGTGTCTTGTTCAGCTGCTATGCAGTGGATGAAAGATGCATGCAGAGGCCCTTCACTCATAAAACTGTGTTACAGGGAGCTGACATTTAAAAAGGGTGATGCAGTGAACATCATCAGGCAGATAGATAACAACTGGTATGAAGGAGAGCACCGTGGGCGAGTGGGAATATTCCCTATAGCATATGTAGAGGTAAGTCGGCTGCTGATTTCTGGTCTGAATATGGCTTGGTTGTATTTGAATATGCATCTCCTCCAACATGACACGCATACAGGTTTACACCATTTTTCACACATTTACAGAAGATGCCGTCTTCAGAGAAGCAGCAGCCAATCCGTCCTCCTCCTCCAGCACATGTCAGAGAGATTGGAGAGGCAGTGGCCCGCTACAACTTTAACGCTGATACTAACGTGGAGCTGTCACTGAGAAAGGTATTTCAACTTAAAGCATGTTTATAATGTTTTTGTCATTGATTTAAATATTTGAAGTGCTGAGTTTCACAGTTATATCTAAAGGTAAAGATGTTACTAAATTGTAGTAAAAAACAAATGCAGTCCTCTGAAGAACTAAATTCCCAGTATTCTCTGTTCCATAGGAATTATGACTGTAAGTAGCAGCCAGGGACTTCTAATCAAATGCAGTTGATTAATTGATCATCAGCAAGTGTGAACACCTCTATTGAATCAGACGTTTTGGCTGTGTGGTACATAAAGCAGACATATCGTATAAATTCCTCTATTCATATCAGATTTGAGGCCAACTGTCCACCAACTAACGCTAGGCCAAAACTGAGCCATGCAACAGGACAATGATCTCAAGCACAGCAGCAAATTTATAACATAAAGGCTGAAAAAGAAAAGAATTGATGTGTTACAATGATCGAGTCAAAAGCAAGAAAGTGCATAATGATATGCGCATAAATTGATGACAAAGAACTGAAGCAACGCCGTTAAGAAGAGTGGGACAAAATGATGTAAAATTACATGGGGAAAAAAGTGTGAGAGGACCTGCTGTGGGGGTCCCGTTCATTCCACCGTTCCTGATTTGCAGTTAAGTGCCTTGTTTTTGTGTTGTTGGTGTGTCTGATGTGTGCAGGGTGAGAGAGTGATTGTGATAAGGCAGGTGGATCAGAATTGGTATGAGGGGAAGATCCCAGACACAACCAAACAGGGGATCTTTCCTGTGTCCTACGTTGACCTTATCAAGCGATCTCCATCCAAAAGCTCCGCCCATCACATAGATCCACATGGTTACCCCAGCAACAGGACACCAAGCTCCACACCCGTCAAGGTAAGAGAGTCTAGAGCCTGCTTACTCGTCAAGCCACAAAAAACAATAGAGCAGCTTCAGATCAGATTTGTGCCTTGAAGATATTGATTAAGTTATACTTGGACTTGGCTTTTATTATTTATTTTATCAAAATTATAAGTAATCAGAGCCTAATTATTGTTTATTTTACATTGTTACTGTTTAAAATCACATGTTTGTGTGAAGCTAGTCTCTTTCCTGTTTTATGCAGTTTTCCTCACAGTTGTATGGGATGTACGTACAGTCAAAGTTGATTACAGAGGACACTGTTTATTTTCAAATGCGCTCTATAAATAAGCTTTACTTGACTGTACGACAGTGCAATAATGCAAATAATGCATCTCTTTCAGGGGCTTCATAAATTCATTAAGATGTGATTTTGGGGGGTATTTCTTCATCTTAAAAAAAGCTGTTGGTTATCAACTTGTACCCCAAATAAAAAGAAAATAAAGATCCAAAACCTCCCTCTGGTGTAACGGTAGTCTAGTAATTAGTGAATACTTTAATTATAATAAGTAAGTCTTCTGTTCTACCTTGAAGACTCAAAACATACATAAAAACACACAGCATGTCTCTGTTCTAGTTTCATAAATCACCCACTGTTCCTTCTTTTTTTGCTTTATTTTCATGGAGCCTTTCTATCATCCACCTCCACCACCCACCACCCACAAACCCCCCTCCCCTCACCCCTCTTTGAGAAGCCTTGACCTGCAAGCCATCACCACCGAGTGGCTGTCCATCACAGTGGAGCCGTCAGCATCCACTCAAGCTCACTCCCTCACGAACACCCCTCTGCCGCCCTCACCGCCTCCTCTCCCCTCTGACCTTGCATCTCTCCTAAAGGCTCAAGAGCCCAAAGCACTCTCATCTGCACCGCCACAAAAAAGTTTCACCTTGTCATCCCTAGCAACCACAACCTGCAAAGAATTTTCCAGAACGCCCACTTTTAAAGAGGCAAACCTCAGTTTAGGTCACACCACAGCTGTCTCACCCATCTCACCCCCTACTCCTCCTCCTCCAGACCCCCATTTCTCATTAACCTCTCCACTGCCTGACTCTTCATTTCAATATAACTGTGGCAGAGGACTACATATCACTGAGGAAGACTCAAACTTAGGAATTACTACGCCTGAGGTTTTGTCAGAGCCGATAAAATCAGCCACACCTCCTGCACAAGAGCACAAATCCACAGTACGAGTAAACAAAAGCAGGGAAACCCCGGACACTAAACTGCAACTCAAAGACCCTTATGATGAGCTGTTGTGCATGTTTCTGGATGGTTCCAGCAGCACAGATGATGGTGATGTTTTGAGATCATCTCCAGTAGATTCTTCAGCAGCTAAGCTGACCAAAAAGTCCCAAAGCAGGCTCTTCCCATTAAAAGCGGAAGAATCCCATCAGTCGGACGTAAAGCCCCCAGCGGTCACTCCTGCAAGCAACTCGACAGGCAGCTTTCAGTTAGCAGTGCTGCTTCACAAGCCTGTAACAATGGAGCCCCTTTGTGTTTCGTGGGAAGAGCAGTCAAAAAATGTGAATGGGCAACGTTTTGACTCACATAGACCACCGTCAGTACAAGCAAAGGAATACACTGAGTTGTTCATTGAAGAAGACGATGAAGCTAGAAGTGAGAAAGAGCAGGATGTTAGAGTTTTAAATCAGATGCACAGCCCACAGGTACAGCATGGTGTGCACTACATCTGTTGAGTTTGGAAATGCTATAGGGCCTTAGAAGGGACATTGAGGAATTAAGTTGATATACTGTATGATGTCATTCCCCGCCAAAATTAGCAAGTGTGTCCCATCGTCCTTTTTTTATGTTTTGTTTTGTTTTCTCCCATCTCCTGCTGCGCGACTGCAAAATGCTGAGGCGCATAGTGCGTATAAGTCGCTAGCACTATTAACTCATTAACTGCAGAGCTCCAAACCTCTTCTGGCATTAACATCAGCATAAAAACTGTTCACCAGGAGCTTCTTGGCATTGGTTTCCATGGCCGAGCAACTCCTGTAGGTGCAGTACACCCAGGGTTGTTTTGTTGTTGTTGTTGTTGTTGTTTTTTTTGGGGGGGGGGTATTTAGTGTTCAAGAGGCACTTGAGTTCTCTTTCCAGTTTTTCTTTTAAACTGTATTATTTTGATTTAAAAAATAATACATTATTTTTATTATTATTATCACTTAGGCTAGGGCGCATTATAGACTTCTGTTCGTATTTCCATTCAACACTGATCACAAGATTTTTTGGAAACATCTCATACTCTAGTGGATATATTTTTGTTAATCAGGATGCTTATCACAAGATTGGGGTTTTTTTTTTGTTTGTTTTTTAATATATTTTACTTTCCTCCATGTCCCGTCTGGGGTTTAGTAAATCACAAACAGAACAGCTCATCCCGTGATTACACTTGAGTATTCACATGTGTGTCTTTACCCCGTAGGCTGAAGTGTCTCCACCTACTCAGTTTCCCCACACTGGTCCCTCCTCCCCCTCCATACCACCCCCTGTGACCTCCCTGCTTCCCACTTCTCTTTCCTCTGCTTGCCCTTCATCCTCTTTCTCCCACACACAACAGCAGCACAATCGTAGTATCGTCCCTCCCTGTGACCATGCCTCCCCTCGTCCTCCGTCCCTTCCTCAGCTCACAACGTCACTGCTGCCTCCAGTTTCTCCATCTGTCTCACCACCTCCTCTCCACTTCCCTCCAGACGATCCCTCTCAGCGGTCTGTCTCTCACCCCTCAAGCTCTCCTTTTCTTTCTAGTCCAGTCACGACATGTCCCATCTCAGAGCCAAATTTTTCCCTTCCTCCCGCTAACATTGCCCCTCCACCCTCCACTCAGCGCTGTCCCCCCACTGCCCCAACTGTACCACATCAAGGACGTAGGTCGCCTAAGGTGAAGGTAAAGCTGGCATGTAACGAGTATGCCGTTGATTTTTGGTGATGAGGATGATAAGAACTCTCATAATAGTGTATTTCTCTAACTACTAAGACGTGAAGTGAATTGAGAAGTAACTGATTAGTTATATATATCAGAGATTAATAACAATTTATAATCAGATTTATAGATGCAATACAAGCAGTACTGTTAGTTTCAGGCACTAATTCTCATTATATGTTAACATGTAAGTACCCAGCTGATGATTTTAGGGGCAGCAGAATACATGCTTGAATAACTGTTAATAGAGTTGTGAACACTGTACTGTGTTGTGATTAGGAGGCTTTTTATTGGCATCAGCATGTTGATGATGTGTCACAGCATGTCTTTAGACTCTCTGTCTGTGTGTGGAGCTCAGAGTCGAGGTTGCTGTTGGTTACTGTTAAAGATTATAGGTGTGTTGCTTCTGGTCTTTCTGCCTGTTAAGCAGGATCCAATTGTTGGTGGTAAACCCCCTCGTAGCCCCATCTTGTCCCGGAGGTCCTATCTGTCACCCGTTAGAGGTCGAAGGGTAGGGGGGCATGTCTTCATTCAACCATGCTCATAGTGCACTCCTGTCTCTGTGCAGGAGGGAGATGTTGGGAATAACCATATCATTCATGACTGATAACGTGCTACAGTATGCTTTTTTTGGTTCATTTCTTTTTGTTCTTTTGTCATATGATGATTTATAATTTCACTTTGTGAGAAGATAAAAATCAAAAGTATCTTAGAGCAAAAAACTTGCTAAAATCTGTTCTCCTCAAACACTAAACAAAAGCTCCACAAATGGCAGAACACAAATTTGTGTTAATCATTTGTGTTTCTCTCTTTGTCCCTAAAACTCAGCGGTCAGTACAGGATGCACTCCACGGTGGAGGAGACCCGTAAGTAGTATGATTTTCTTTGAACTGCTATTAACATCTTTCTCTGTGCTTTAAAAGGCGTGTGTGTGTGTAGCATTAACTGTAATCGAAACAACTGCACCCATCCAGTTTAAATTAGCCGTACTTGACAGTGAAGAAATACTTGCCAAAGAATAAAAATCTAATCTTTTCCAACCCAGGTACCAGGCGCTGTACAACTACATGCCTCGCAATGAGGATGAGCTGGAGCTGCGGGAGGGAGACGTCGTTGATGTGATGGAGAAGTGCGATGATGGCTGGTTTGTTGGTAAGATGAACAGACATCAGCTAACAAAAGTAATAGAGATAGAAATACAAAATGCATTGAGCCAAACACATGATGAACTAAAAGTGAGTTTATCACTGAAGTGTATAAAGTGGTATAATTATGTTGTTACACTTGCCTGCCTCTTCTATAAATGTATAAAATCTAATCAGCCAGTCACGTGGCAGCATCTCAATGAATTTAGGCATGTAGTAATGATCAGGAGGACCTGATGAAAATTTACAGGATTTATAACCATCTCTGCAGAACAGCCTGAAATAAAGAAAATGGCCAGACTGTTTCCAACTAACAGGAGGGCAGCAGTAACTAAAATAACCACTCATTACAATCAAGTTATGCAGAAGAGCATCTCTGAATACAAAGAGCAGCAGAAGACCATACAGGGACCCACTCCTATGAACTAAAAACAGGAAACCGATGCTACCATTTACATGGGCTCAGAAAAATTGGACATCAGAAGATTGAAAAAAATGATGGTTGGAATCTCAATTTCTGCTGCAGCATGCAGATTGTTGATGTCATTGTGCCAATGTGGATTGAAATCTCTGAGGAATAGTTTCCACAGCACTTTGTTCAATCTGTGCCACAAAGAATTAAGGAAGTACCAGCAAGACGTAGATAATTGTCATAATAAATGAAGCAGAAATGAGCGCACTGGCTGAATAAGCAGGAAGAATGCAGAAAATAAATACAGTCAATGTTTAACTTGATAATGACTCCAATAAAGTGCTGAACTACTTTCAGTTAAATTAGGAATTTGATATAATATCAAATAATAATAATCGATATAATATATAATAATTCGATATAGTATCAAATAATTCGATATAATTTTATAGATACTCACAAAAATCATACTAATGTATGAGTTAAAGGTTTAGTCAGTTTCAATGGACCGAATGGTGAAATTGTAGAGAAAATCTCATTTAGTCTCACTCTGTGCTGTTGTGTCACACCATGAAATTAATGTGATTTGAGAACACCAACTTTTACCCCCTCCTTAATTTAATAAAAAGTCAGGGTGTAAAGACAAACTCAACCTAAAACCTTCTAAAAAATAGAGGAAAACTAAAGCATAAAAATGTAGAAAAACTAGACACACCACTAGATGTCAGTGTGGCTTCAGCACTGACTGTGGGAGAAGACAAAACAACCATATCCCTCACAGCTGAGCACAGTTTAAGTGTCATTTCTTTGTTTTTGTCAATTTTTCAAAAATGAAACCTGCTTAAATGTTGGTGTAGCTCTGAATCTCCACAGTTGGTGGATTTCTAGACTACAGCTGACATTTGTGCCATAGTCGTGTTTCAGCCCTGACAGTTTCCTTTCATTGTTCTGTGTTTGTGAAGGGACCTCTCGAAGGAGCAAGTTGTTTGGAACCTTCCCAGGAAACTACGTGAAGCAGCTATAATGATTCCAAACTCCCGCTGACCCCGCCCCTTTCTATGACCCATTCATCGCCCCTCCTCAGCACAGCACCCGCAGGACATCAACAAAGACCTGCACCACACGTTTGTGTTTGCGTGTATGTGTGTGGCTTGTCAGCTTCACACAGACAAAATACTTAGCTCTAACTAGCCATCTTTAATGGAAGACTTCTATAAAGTAATAACGCATTTTTTAAACTTATCTTTTTACCCTTATTTTTCTATTATGGAGAACCGAAGATTTGTGCTGCACCCAGTGACCTTTGACTTTTGACAATAACGGAAGTATATCTGCAGTGATGCTTTCCTTTCTTTTTCAGTTGTTTAAGGACATTAAGATCACCAAGAATACGTTTTTTCTCCAGTAACTCAAAATTTAAATCACTTCTAGTTAACTTCAGTGTTTATTTACAGATGTCTCCACAAAGATTTAGTGCAGAGAGTGTTAAAGGAAAGCAGTATTGTGTCAGGAGGCCAGATGTGTTTTGGCAAATTAGGAGCCAACGTGTTGCATCATCATGCCAGGTAAAAGGATGGTTCAGCAAATGTTTTTTTGTTTTACTTTGGGGGATATTATTTAATAAAATGAACAATAAGTTTAAATACTGCAGACGTGAAGAAAAACACTATCACAGACTTAGCTCGAGATTAGTAAACACGTTGTTGCTGTTCAGTTATTTTCATGTTAGAATTGAAGCACTTTTACTGAACTTGATCACAAACGATCTCTTTGGTTTATTTTTTTAACCTCACTTCAGATTTTACACAGCAGAGGTCATTTTGACTGCACCTGGCTTCGGGGGAGAGGAGTGTGTTGAAAGTGTATGCAGAAAGGTTACTGACCTTTTTTAGGTATTATATTTATTAGAAGACGAAGGCTGGTCTCACTGTGTTATACGATGATTTTTAGAAAGAACGGAGCACCACATTGTTTTTTTGTTTTTTTTTAAAGCATATTTTAACAGTACCTAACTTACATTTGAATGATTGTTATTTTATGGTCATCATTAATCAAAGTCCAGGTTCTGAGTGATTACAGAAAAACAAAAACACAATGGTTAATGGGCTAAAAAGAACTCACTGTTGTTTTATGATGAATTTATTTAAGTCAGATACAGGACGGGAATTTTGAAAACCTTTGGAAATCACGGAACTGCTGTTGGATCTTTTATAGCTGTTGTCAGAGTGAGTGGGTAGTGTGTCATTACTCATGTGTGTACTGTTGTGAAAGGATTGGCAATTTCCATCTTAGCGTGTCGTTCTCAGTAACTGATCTCTGTTTTGTTTTCTTCACAAAGAATGGACACTGACAACAAAACGATGTAAAAGCACCTTAAAATATTTTATCATTCACTGTCCTTCACGTCACTCTCTGTCATTCACCATTTCAGCCGGCGTGAGTTCACTGTGTGCGAGTGTGAGCGTGTCGTGGTTTTGTAAGCCTTTTTTGTTTTTGTATGTGAGCTGTAAAATGGCCAACATCCACTTGCTTTATAAAGTCGGCTTTTTCTCATCCACCATCACGTTTGGTTTCCTCTTTCTTTCCATTTCGCATCATCAGTGGTGCTAACCCGCATTCTTCTGAGAACGTCTCGTGTAGCCGGGCTCGTAGGATTTTCTTTGCTCCAGTTTGTCGTTTTTACGTTGGTGGGGTATTTAAAGTGAATTTACTGTAGGTAGACAGAGTAGAGTTGGTGATCGCTGCCTTAAATCCAGCTCTCACTAATTTAATAGCCATGTATATGTAAACCTGTGATGCAAAAACAAAAAGAATAATTTATGCATATGTAGTTTAGAAAGTGTATGAAAGTGTGCAGAGAACATACAAAGTGTTCAGTGTTTAAACGTTAGGCCCTCTGTCTGCCTTTGATACGAGCGTAAGAACAAATTCGAAGCAAGGAGATGAATTTGATTGCTGATATGTTTATACGTGTATGAAAGTGTAAATCTTATGTTATTCATGTTATTATTGAACTCAATGCACACTCTTGGACCTGAGTATTTCTTGTAGGACTTGTTGGATGATTTTAAGGGGCTGTATTGCTAATAAAATCCAGCTGGTAGATCAAATATTCCAACATTTTTTTTTCTTTCTGCTCAACAGAAAAAGATTATGTCATCCACCTGAAATGAAAATCTCAGGTGCCATAGGCAGGAATCTAGAAATTGCCAGCATAAATCCTCTCCTACCAGAAGGTCACAGGACACACACGAGTCTAAAACAATGAAATAATGTTCACTTTTGACGTCAGGCAGAATTTAAAAACTGCAAAACGGTTTGCATCGGTATTTGACTGAACAGAGTGAAAAGTTCTGGGTATACAAGCTACACAGATGTTCTTAGGTGCTCACATTAAGCATAGGTTGAAAGCTGATTGATAGAAATGTGGGCTGGAATACGAAAGCGAGTGACGTCAGAATTCAGCATGAAGGGTTTTTCCCCATTCATTAAAACATAAAACATCAAAAGAGCAGCACGAAAAGCAAAGGAAGCACCTGCAGAGAACAACCGTTTAAACCGTTTTTAACACTTGGTTTCACTTCACTACTAAGAAGGTCTTTGTCTATTATTACTTCAGCCCTATTCTCAGTAGACACCAAGCTAAAGGACCAACAGACCGATTGTTATGGACACTGCCCCCTAGTGACAGTAAACTGCTACAACGTATACACGACTACTGGAAACTACCAATGTATAACCGGTGAAAAGCCCTGTGGTTGGAGAAATCTTGTGTCGGACGCTTTTTCTTTTGTTTTTTAAACCAGAAAACAGAGCCCAGAGTAGCTGGAGGCACGTCGCTCCCTCTCAGACTTGAATTGTTTTATTGTTGCCTGCCCTAGCTTTAAAGGTAGGATATACAATTTAGATGGACACGAGTACCTGCTAATTAGTGCTAGCTGACTAAAAACACAAATTTTGTAGACTGGAACTCAAAGCAGGGCACGTAATTCCATTACCTGCACCCAGGCAGGTTTTTGTGGTGTCAGTGCCACAAAAAGAATTCAAACATCCATTTCAGTTCAGTTGACTTCAGGTGACGTAAAATCACTGAACTGAATCCCCAACCCCAGAGGCAATCTTTTAATACAGGAGTCGACAGAGATTGGTTTCCTCTACTGGCTCCAAAAGAGAGTCAATCTGCAGTAAAAGGCGGTCGTGTGCCAATAAGAAGGCAGCTGCATGTTCAAGTAAACCATCTCAGTATTTTGGCTCTCAGCTACAAGGACATTTCTTTCTTCTTACAAACAAAACTTTTGCAAAAGGTCACAAATTCTTTGCGAAGAAGCAAAGAAACAGCAGTTGGTGTCTGCGAGTGTGGAAGGTCCGCTTCAGTCCAAGCGAAGTAAATTTCACCATCAGGAGGGGAACGTGTGCCCTGCAGTTTGTCACGACACTCTGGCTTCAATCCACCATATGCACGGATCCTCTAGGCAGACTTGAAAACAAGAATAAATAAAGGATAAATAAGGAGAACTCTTTCAGTGGGACTGCAAACAAGCAGAGTCCTGGCTTCAGTCACGTTCAACAGTGCTATTGGTGGATTTTGAAGCTTCAGCACACATTGAACCAGTAGAGCAGTCCTGATCTATGTTGCATTAAACTTGCATGATGTATATAACTGTTCCATTCCTCAGGTAAAGCAAGGTAAACATAAAGTTCATATAATGCCTATATGCTTATGTACTTGAACGCTGCACGTGTCCTAAATATGGTTTTGGTGTTACAGAGAATGGATGCCTAGATCTGTACTCTTACTGTTACGGCCTGTTAATTCTGTCCAGAGAGAAAGAAATGTGGAAACACGAGTGCTTCCATGTCATGGCAACCACAGAAACAAACCATGAATCTGATCCACGCTGAAATACTGTAAGCGGGAAAGGGTTTTCAAGGCCGATGGCGGAGTTTGTGGTGTGGATTCATAATGGCACATTTACATGATGAAGCCGCTCCCTGCTCAGGCTAAATGGCTATCACTGTTGACACAGATTAGCATGCCTTACTCACAGGCATGCACCATTTGATGTTTTTATTTATTTATTTTAACTTATTAATAGTACTATGCAAATATGAAAGGGGAGCAAAGAAAATTCTGTATTGGCTGAAAAATAAATTCCTGAGATCACAAAGAGCGAATTCAGATTTTGGCCTAGAAGACGTCTTTAAAGACATGAAAAATGGCTCGGTTTAATAGAGTAGACAAAGCCCGGTTTCTGCTGTAAACACAATAAAAAAAAAACTTCAAGTCAGAGCTGGATTGTTATCAAGCTCGGCTAGGAGTGAGAGTCCTGGGTCCCTTCCAAATCAATAGTGACTGGAATGTGCCTGTGAGACCTCCAAGGCCTCAGAGAGAAGCTTTGCCTTCAGACCAAATAAGGACAGGAGCAGCAAGACCCATCAACCAGAGCAAGAGGAGGCCAGCCAGACCTCGAGCTGCCCGGGGATGAGAAGCATTAGTGGGGGCTGGCTTCTGACAGAAGCTGGTTTACATCTTCAGTCTGTGTGTGGACACGAGTTCATTTAGGTAAGCAGTGACTGAGCCAGAAGTGGTTATGAGTAAAACAAGCAATGCTTTGGTTTTACCTCATCCTCGTGAGAAACACTGGCTTCTATTCGGAGAGGAGGAATAGTAAAAGAAGCAACGAGGCACGCTCAAACAGAATTAGTACAGACAGACTTGAGAGTCAGTTCCCAAAATCTGACCAATTACCTCACTCACGGGGCGGGAGCTGTCCATCCTCCTCCCCCTGACCCCCTCACTTCAAAATCTCCATCACTTTGATATTCCACTGCTCTTTAACTGTGATCGCCACAGTGTGCAGTTTACTGTCTGTGCTGCTGTCAAAACAGCACGGAGACTTTAAAGGGTCATGCCACTTAACGTGGTGCTGGATGGGCCGGCCCCCTGGGGCTTTCGTCTGACAGGAGGAAAGGACTTCAACCAGCCCCTGACCATCTCCAGGGTGAGTGAGTGAGTGGCATAATGTCTGCATTATAAGAACAGAAGCAAAGTGATATCAGTTTGCCAGTTTTTTAAGTAGTTCTTTAAATCATTTTTTTTCTTTTCCCAGTGCATTTTTCAAATAGCTTGAGGGTAAAGATTGTGCTTCCAGACGATTCATTCTAGAAACATTCTGGTGTGGTATGAAGCTTGCACCTGTGCCGCAGTAAATGCAAGAGGCTTAGATACAAATAGCAGCTTGAATTCTTATCCAACATATGTGCACACACACACAAACACGGATGTCTCATTGAGTAAATTTTGAAGCATGGAAAATATGTCCAAAATCATACTCTAATCCCACTGCCTGTGTGAATAATCACCAACTTAAAGCCAATGATCTAAACAAATGTTTGGACAAACCTGTGTGAACCTCCTCGCTGGAGTGATGAGCGCAGCATTATGAAATGTCTGTTAGAACAGTGCAGCTGTTGAGAAGAAAGTACACCAACTTTGGATCAGCTTACAGCATCAGGCAGCTCGTCATCCTCAACAGCACAGAGAGAGATAAAAGATGAGAGAAGAAACAAAAATAACTCGCAAATACAAAAAAAAAATTCCAACTAGATTAGTCATTTGGACATGTGAATGACTGACTGTAGGTGGACTTGGAAGATAAGAAAATGGAAAAACTCTTATCTGTATGGGGTCATCGGTGATGAAAACGATAATTTCCTGGAAGAAATTAGGTATTTCCTGTTGACACAAAGTACTAACAAGGGAATCCTCACAGATACCAATAATGATGTTGTAAATTTAGAACAAATTAAATGGGACAGTTCACATTCTCTGTTTCTGAAAATATGTTAAATATGTTCATGTATTTTGTAGGCCAAAGCTGGATAAGAAGATAAATACTGTAAATAAGTGACTGGGTGTTGTTGTTAGTTTAGTACAAATATGATAACAGATAGTCTTTCATATCTCAAACCGCACTGACTCTTTATATTGCTGCCCTGAAGTCACCAGGCTCTAGTCTAATTGTATAAATTTTATATTATTGTTTTTGTGGTTTGCGTGTGTGAGAGTGCAAATAGCATTCTAATAAATAAGTTTTGGAAGTGCAGGTAAACTTAGAGAGTCCAACTATCTGTTTCTCTTTAGAACGCTAAGCTAGGCTATGCTAACCAGTGGCTCCTATTGTCTCATTTTTAAAGGAAAATTCAGGTATTTTTCAAACCTATTTATATCTTCTAATTTGGGGAACCTAAATTTTTTTTTAACTAAATAATTTTTGACCAAAATGTTTGTACTTTCTAATATAGAGCAAGAAACCAACAAGCATCAAGCACGCTAATCCCACTTAGCAATGATCTGTGTGAATGTAAAAGCTTGTTTTTGCCACCAGCAAGCTTAGACTGTTATTCTGAAGCGCCAGTCAAAGCTATCATAAAATGTTTTTTCATTAATTTATGGAATCCTATCTACAACTTCAGAAAAGTGGTGTAGCACCTAGCTTACTAATACTTGGGCAGGAAACCTCGCTGCCACTCTTTCACACACTAGCAAAAATTTTAACAGTACCGAGTAGTTCAATAAACTTCAATAAAACCCTCCAACATCTAAAACAGAAGCCATTAGATGTAGATGGTAGAAGTTGCTTTCCAGTATGTAATTTATATTTTAAAAAGGATTATATTAACTTTTTTTTTTTAGAGCTAGCTAACTTTTGCTGCCAAAACCTAACCTAATCATACAGTCAAAAGCAAAGTCTCAAAACAGATGTCCTAAACGGGATGTGAACTTATTCCTTATGGGTGAAAAATCTGTCATTTTTGCTGTAGTCTCTTTAAAATGGTGACTTCCTGTCAACTTTTAGTGTAACTTCAGATGTTTTCAGTTCCATTCTCACAGGCGTATAAAATAAAGTGCCCAGCCATGCTCAGCTCAGTGAATTTGATCATAATACGGTGACTACTTTAATGTCTTCAACTTTAAGCATTATTCCAAAGTGGAAGCATTTAGGAAACACAGCAATGCCAGCCACGTAAGTTGCTGAGCGGGGCTGAACATGGTGCTTAGGAGATGCTCTGCTAACTGCACAACTGCAGACGTTCATGTGGGTGTAACGTGTAGGTGATCCAATATTTTTTGAGCATAGCCTGTGAGTAAGAAAACCAGTCTCTGTTACTTTGATGAGGGTTATTTCTAAATGGGATTACATGGTCCCTTGTAGTTGGAGGTTTTAGCATTTTTGTTCCATATTGGTCAAAATCAAAACTTTTTTTTTTTAGCTTTTTAATAATTCAGACTCCACAAGCCTAATAAACAAAACACATAAGAATTTCAAAGGATGCACACAGTTAACAGGCATTTATATTGAGCACTGCTTTCTCCATCTGTGTTACAACTTGCCTTGGGCTGAATCCCCAGAGTCAGCCAGAGATGAAGATCAGTAATCCTGTTATGTATGATGGGGTTATGTGGATCTATATTTAGAGAGGGACCTCAGGAAATACTGACCAAAAGCAATTTTAGCTCACAAACCACCAGCTCTTTCCAGTAAACTCACACCTGTTGTGTTAGTGGACACTCAAAGGCCTGTATAAGCACAGTGATGAAAGAAGGCTGAGATTGAAGAGAGAGGGGAAGCGGAAACGATATGAGATCAGTAATATGAGAAGCTGTATCCTCAAATGCATTTGTAACAGAGACAACCCAAAAACAAAAAATATGATTAAAAAAATGGCTACAGGGCAGATTAAAAAGCTGCTACTTCAGTGAACCCACAAGATTTATTTGAGAGCACAAGTGATTCGACTCGCTCCGTTCAATGCCATTTTTGGTTAGGAACATCCTCCCCTTCATGAGCCGTTGGTGTTCCCAGCTGGTGAAAGTAAACACAAGTGATAATCATCTTTTTCTTCAGCGCACAGGGGCCGTAAAGTGGGCGCCGCTCTAGATTTACCCATGAAGATCTGCATCTCTGTGCGATGTCTCCATGAGGGGTGTAAAGCACATGGAAACAATTGCCTAACATGCATTACGTGTCTCTGCAGGATCTCTGTGAGAGAACTACTCCCATGATGTCATTACTTTGGCTTAATTTTTAAGACTAAAACTGTATATGCTTATCAGAGTCCAGCGGTCCAAACAGGCTGAAAAAAAAAGAAGAAGATTGGAGCTGACAAGGAGGCTGAGGTACTCCTTCACAACGAGCTTCAACCTGCCACATTCCCAGTCTTGCTACTTGCATCCCCTATTTTATCCTGGACTCTTAAGAAAATAGTTTTAGAGCAAGCAAGGGAGGTAAAAAGAGAAGAGAGAGGGAGGACGGGAGAAAAGCAGAAAGAAAAGGCTGGCAGGTGGTTGTAATTTAAACAAAGACAAACGTTTGACATGACAGCTGAACTCCGAGGAAGCAAAAGAATGTAATTAAAGAAAAAAAATAAAAGCATGGCTGTGTACCTACTCGATCCAGACATGAGAGCAGCGAGACAAAGTCTGACAGCGCTCTCAAACAAATGCTCCACTGTAAATTACCGCTCCCTCTTTTGGAAGCATGAGACATCCCCTCACCACTTTTATCCGCTGTTATTTATAGGCAGATGACCTAATTTAAGTTTCACTGTAACATCTCGGTGTAGCTCAGTCTGCAATGTCCAGTAATGCAATATGACTGAGCACAGGTCGTGCCCTGTGTGGCGCAAGTGGACATTTTGGGTACTGTTTGATGTTGCCTCGGGAGAGGCTCTCTGTGACCCTGGTGGCTTTCTGGCAGTTCTTTCTCTTTTTTTCCAGTCACTTCCTGACCATCAGAATACATATTACCATCTGGACGCTGTCACTCGGTGTTTACTTTGGCTCCATGACAGGAGAGTTTACACACATGCATACCAACCAGAGCAACGTCTCTCTGTTAGCAGCTACTGTGGAGAGTGTACGAGCTGCTGAATTTATAGATTTAGCTCATCAATGGTCTGAATTGTGTTTTGAATTTGTGTGTGTGTGTGTGTGTGTGTGTGTGTGGGGGGGGTTATAAAGCTTTGATCCAAGCAGGGGAACAGAAACAAGGGGCCCAGCCCCTGAGTACTGTATTAAAAGATGACGTGCCAGTGATGGAGAACAGACTTTTCACAGCACTGCAACATCTGGACGTACTGGACTGTATAAACGCAATGTACAGAGGGAATCCAAGTCAAGGACAGAGTTTCTGTTTAATAAAGCTAGAGCTTCAATCCATGTATGAATCTTGACCATACCGTGGAAATCACCAGAATATGTTGGGATTTTGTTTTGTTTTTTTACTCAAGTCTTTGTGTGTAAGCATGTATAAGTTTAAGCATATTATATGTATTTGCTCGTTCATGAAAGGTTTTGTTGAAAAGAACTACATTTGGACTCTATTGAAGCTGGATTTAAATGCTCAAACATGCCAAGTTTTCTATGTTTTTGAGAAAAGAAAACTTTGTTATGATTGTTAGCAAACTATGATACAACAAACAAGAAATAGTTTTAATACAGACGTAAATATCGTGCTTATTTTCCACTCCCTCTATTGATAATGATACTAATTCAGGCTGTTTCAACCTTTTCCGCTGCATAACTTGGTCTTCTGGTCCCAAACTTTTCCCATGACCCCACCAGCTACAGCCGTACATCCCTGAATTCATCGAGGGCATGTTTTGGTTTGTCACTGAAACTGAGAGGAATAAACTGATATAAAAATTTCGTTAAATCGTAGGACGAAAAGTTGAAAAACTTGTTGTTGTGTTTCTCAAAGATTTTCCCCCATTTAGTGTTCCCAGGGAACACTGTCTAGGAACTGAAACAGGCCATAGAATATGCTTGTTAAAGTATCCTTTGTCCTACATGGAGCTGTTTGCATTATTACTGACCGCCACAGTAAAATGAAAGCACACCCAGTTTAAATTCTGTGGTTTTATATATCGGGAAATTGAGAAAATTTATCTGGACTTACAATTGTATAAATACACCCTCAGATGAACTGTGTCTGTGAAGTACACCCATATTGCTTAAGAGGATAAGTAGCAGCCATGAGCTACTGATCAAATTCACCAGATTAACTGATCATCAGCAAATTTTGGGAGTTTGCTTGCCTGGAGCATTCAGGTGCCAATCAATCCGGAGAGGGTTATAAGGCAATTTCTAAAGTCCATCATTCTACAGGGAAACGTTATTCACAAGTCAAAAACATTTAAGGCAGCTGCTAATCCTCACAGGAGTAATCTTACCCCAAGGTTGGGCCATGCATCTTCAGAGAAACACTAAAATTACCAACAACTACATCCTAGACTCTACAGGCCTTAGTTGGGACAGCAAATATTGAAGTTCATGGCAGTATATATAGAAAAGTCCTGTATGGCTTATTTGGAAGAGTTACTAGGAGAAAGCCTCTTATTTCTACAAAGGCTAAGCGCTACTTTCAGTAAAAACCAAACACAGCATAGCAGCACAAACACTTTGTACCAACAGTCAAGCACGGTGGTGGAAGGGTGAGGATTTGGGCTAACCTTCAGTGAACTGAATGGGTTCTCTCCGTGTACTCTGACTTCTTGCCACAGTCCAGAGACATGCAGTCAGTGGGGTTAGGTTAATTGGTGATCTGTCACTGTGTGAACCCTGTGGCAAATTGGAGACCTGTCCATGGAGTACCCTGCCTCTCACCCTATGCCAGCTGGAATAGGCTCCAGCAACCCCACGACCCTGATAAGGACAAGCTGAAGAGAATGGATGGATATTTGTTTTTCCTTTTTTTTTGTTATCCACTTGTCTATGATGCTCGCCTTGTTTGTTGACTCCCATCCAGATCACTCCTGGCAGTAAGGCATCTGCTGCCAACCTGTGCCCTGGTGATGTCATCCTGGCTATTGAGGGAGTCCCAGCAACAAACATGCTGCATTGTGAAGCTCAGAACAAGATAAAGGAATCCACTCATCAGCTCTGTCTCACCATTGAAAGGTTAGCGGGAGTATACACATGCTCACAAACCTTTTTTTGGATCATTCAGCTTTTGATTCAAGTTAAATTTGAAGTTGGATTTTTTGGTGTTAGCTATTTCACAAGTGTTCGCTTTACTATAAAGGTATAAATCCATGACTAATGTATCCACATTCTGTAATACAGATTGTTACTGCAATTATTTTGTGTGTTGACCCCTTAATTATAATAATAATATCCACTGCTACTACAAAAAAAGAAAAACTGTGGGAAAAAATGTGGAAGAAATATGTAGCCTGTGGTACTTAAGGAAAGACATAAATCTAAGGTCAGTTTAGATGTTTTATGTGCCAGCATTAGACTCACATGTGCGCACAAGCTTCAAAAACGGGCATTTAATAGTCAGTTCATCGTGGTGAACTTCTGACCAGGATCTGCCTTTAAATTCCAGAAACGAATCAAGACTGTGGACTCCACGTGTCATGGAGGACGGGAGAGCTCACCCATTTAAAATAAACCTGGAAGCAGAGCAGCAGGTCTGTGAGACTGTATGTTTAGTAGCTATGATGCCTTAAATCTTTGTATCTTGTTCTTCAGTAGTGTCCTTGCTTCCTTCTTCTCCTACCAGGAATATAAACCAATTGGCACAGCTCACAATAGAAGAGCTCAGCCATTTGTGGCAGCAGCGAACATTGATGACAAGCGCCAGGTAGTCAGCACATCCTACAACACGCCTATAGGCCTCTACTCCAGTGGCAACATCCAGGATGCTATGGAGGGCCAGATCCGAGGCTTGGTCCAGCACAAGCCTGAGAGGTGATCAGTGCAAATAATCATTAGTTTCTCTAAAAGCACCACATTACACAAACTAAGTGCTAAAAACCTGTTGCTTAGAAATACTTTTCTATCAGTCACTGTGTTGGTATGTTTAGAAATATAAAGGTGTGTAAGTGTAAAGCCTAATGGTTCACACACACAGAAAAATGTTAGCACAACAGCATGCCACACTGTGCCACCAACACATTACACCAACAGGAAACTTATGCAATGAAGCTCCCAGCGCACAGTTTCAGTGCTTGATGTTAATGTACAAGGAGATTTGGAGGTTTGCAGCTATTGAGTGAGCAGAGCGTTGGTGACTTTTGCGCACTACCTCAGCACTTGGCAACCCTGCTCTGTAACTATGGGGTCTGCCACTTTGCAGTTCGGGTTACTAAATGCTCCCACTTTGCAATAACATCACTTACAGTTAATTTTGGAAGAAATTCCATGTACTAATTTGTTGCAAGTGCACAGCTGGCATCTTATTACACTACTATGCTTGAATTCAGCGAGCTCTTTAGAGCGACTGATTCTATCACAAATGTTTTTAAAGGCAGGCGGCATGGCTAGGTGCTTTATTTTATACACCTGTGGCTGAAAGCACCTGAATCCAAAGCCTAACAGGTGTTTCACAATACTTTTGTACACATTGTGCACTCCACTTAACCAACTAATGTAAAGCTGTTCTGCGTCACTTGCCCTGTGTGTCTACTTTGCCACAGCAAACATAAGTGGAAATTCTTACATGAGCTTAAATGAAATGAGTACACATGCTGATTCTCTGGAGTAGTTTTTGCCTTGTGGCATTTAGTCTCACTTTACTAAGGCCTTCTGCGTCTGCGAAGGACATCATTGCATTGCTGTAATTATACACAGCAAATAGCTGTTTACTCTTCTATTAAGTATGTGGGAAGCTTTTAAGAGTGTGCACGGCGTTTATGGTTGAAAATAACTGAGCTGACCTAAGAATATTTAACCAAATAACTGATTAACTAATTACTTTCCTCTGGAGCCTCTCTTATGGCAACTCTTTATTTGAGTGATAAGGATCCAGCAATACAACAACAGGAATTAATAATAACCACTGTAGATCCTACAGAGCTACTATTGCACCAATTGTTTTTGCCCGTTTTACATAACTCACCTCCAGAATCACCCGTCCAGTGAGTCACACAGATGTGCTACAGCATGTTAGCCTTCAGCCTTCCCATGCAGTCATATGGATTTCATTAGCTTGTTTGATGTACGGTGTCTTAGGGAATATAGGAAAGAATCTCTTTGTGGCTCAACCACAACTTCTGAATAGGACACTGATCACATCCGACCAAAGCCACTCACTCATGCATTACTTCTGCACTGATTTACACAAGCACTGCAGCACATTATCAGTACACTGGAAGGGATCATTGTTTATTAAACCATAATTATGGTTAAATTACAGCTCAAATTGTACGTTAATCAAATCCGTGTGATTATTTTCGTCTCGCATCCATTTTCTCCTTGTAAGGCTGACCCATCATGCTGCGTGATCGTCACCTGGTTACGCACATTTGTTGCACACACTAGACACCAACTTTAAAGCGTGATGGGTGAAACTTTCATTGGGGTTTTTTTTGTCAGAATTATAAGAAAACTCCTGTATTGCAGTTAGAAGAATTTGATGGGGGTTTTCTGTGTGTGTCTCGATGCACTGCTCAGTCCCAGAGCTCTAGCCAGCATTGAGGATTCTGACGTTTACCGGATGTTACAGAAAGACCAGGAGGATCCCCAGGAGCCTCGGCAGTCTGGCTCCTTCAAAGCCCTCCAGGAATTTATTGACAGTGATGGTGAGCTCTCTCCTAAATTATGCATCTCTTCCTCAAAAAATCAATTCATAAATCATTCATAATTCTTCCCAATTTTTCAGTCTTCACCTGGTCGTAGTGACGCTGACAGGCAGTAGTTTTGTCATCAAACACTTTTCAGTTCACGAGATGCTGTTTTTTCACATAAAGTTGCAGTTTTTAAATCTTTTTTTTTCTCCAGCTTTCCCCCTGTAAGAAAAATAAAGAACAAATTTGAAGGTTTCACATCTTTTTCAACCCTGGTTGGAAGAAGGGCTCAGGGATTGATCTAAAAACCCTTTGGCTTAAAGTCATAGCTGAAATGACATGTTGATGACTTACCTGTGGCATTAATACATTTTCAATAAATTACACTGTGATTTACTTGGACAAAAAGGACTGAAAGTAAGTAGATCATTTATGCAAAACTGTGACAATGTCTCATATCACACCCTATTAAAGCTGCACAGTGTGTTCCCGAGACATGTCATTCTCCTTATTTTTGGAGTATTATTAATACAAAAGCACTTTTCCACGTGTTTCCTTTGTTAGCAGAATATGTATAATATGCTAAAAAACAAAAAAACAAAAACCCAAAATGAATGATCATTCATGCCGCTTTGTCCCCGTCTCGGTGGTTTTTCTTTTCATGTATGTGTTATGATCACGCAGGGTTTTTGTGTTGAGTGGTTTCTTTCTAATGTGATCAGGCACTCGGCCCATTGTGACCAGGACAGTAAAAGCGCCCACAACCAAACCAACTACGCCCACAGGAAACCTGCAGAAACTGCCTGTCTGTGACAAGTGTGGGAATGGGATTGTGTGAGTAAAAATAGAACGACTCATCTGCGATTTACATTAAGACCATCTATGCAGAAACAGCACAGTCCAGCGCAGTACACCCAGAGGCTCTAGCATCGTTTGAAGATCGCAGAAACTGCATAAATTATATGCGCTCACCTGCTACCTCATTAGGTACACCTGTTCACCTCATTGTTAATGCAAAAATCTAATCAGCCTAATAATGCACTGAGTGGCAGTAACACAGTGCTGAAGTGAAAACTGAGCATCAGAATGGGGATGAAAGGAAAGTTAAGTGACTCTGAATGAGGCATGGTTGTTGGTGCCAAACAGGCTGGTCTCAGTAGTTCAGAAACTGCTGACATACTGGGATTTTCCCCTCACAACCACCTCTAGGGATTACAGAGAATGGTCTAAAAAAGAGAAAATATTGAGCAAGCGCCAGTTCTCTCTGTGAAAATTCCTCGTTGACGTCAAAGGTCAGAGAAGAATGGCCAGACTGCTTTAAGTGAATACGAAGGCAACAGTAACTCAATGCAACCAAGTTATGCAGAATAGCATACGTCACCGTGCAACGTCGAACCTTGAAGCAGATGGATTGGAGCAGCAGAGGACCACACCGGGTGCCACTTCTATTAGCTAAGAACAGGAAACTAAAGCTGCAGTTTACATGGGCTCAGCAAAACTGGACCACAGGAGATCGGAGAAATGATGCCTGGCCCGAGTCTCAATTTCTGCTTCAACATTTGGATGGCAGGATCAGAATTTGTTATAAACATGCAATTAATAACTAATTCAGGCTCCTGGTATGGGGGATGTGTTCTTGGCACACTTTCAGCCCACCAGTACTGGCTCAGCGTCATTTAAATCGCACAGCCAAACCATCAAAAACTGGATTCTTGAATGTGTCAGTAAGTTCACTGCACTCATATGGCCTCCACCATCATCAGAGATTGCTAATATAGATGTGCAGCACCTGTCTGATGGACCAAAACCTCTGAGAAATGCTTCTAAAACCTTGTTGAATCTGTACCATAGAGAATTCAGACAGTTCTGAAGGGAAAAAGGGATCCAATCCTGTACGAGCAAGGTGTACCTAATAAAGTGGCCACTGAATGTCAACTAGAAACACAAATGTCTTACATTTTGAAACTCAATACATTATCAAAAGATAGATATAGCTTCTGGGACTGGAGGAAAGAGAAGTCTGTTAAACCTGTGTGTTTTTAAATGGGCAGCAGAGGGCGACTTTTCTGGTTGCAAAAACACAAGTCGCATTGAGGTTGCACTGCAGGAAAACAAGTGTTCCAGTTATTTGGATTTGTGTCCATCTATTGTCTTTACACTAGGAGCCTGTTTAGAGTACATCTACCAGTGTTTTTAACCTATAAACAGTTAGCACAGCAGTAACTGGGTTCTATGCTTTATCGTGAAGCTGTACCACTTTTTAAGTGCCGTAAATTCTTTGCTCCTGACATCAGTTTGTTTTTGATGCTTCAGTGGGACAGTGGTGAAAGCTCGGGACAAATATCGTCACCCTGGTTGCTTTGTGTGCTCTGACTGTGATGTCAACCTGAAACAGAAGGGCTATTTCTTTGTGGAGGGACAGCTGTACTGTGAGATCCACGCTCGTGCCAGAATGAGACCAGCGGAGGGACACGACCTCGTCACAACATTTCCCTCTGTATAGAACCCTGCCTCCCTTATATGAGCACAGACACATAAAATCTAGGAAGCCCTTCTATTCCTTACATACGTGTTCGTGTGTTCGTCTGCACTTTGGTGCTGTGTGTAATAATATTTCAGAAAGAATACACTCTTCACTCTTACTGATATGATGTATTTTCTAGGCAATAATGTAAACACCTGGTTGCTTAGAGAGTCCAGCGAAACCACAATCTGTCTTTCCAATAAAGGCCTCTGCTCATAATGTTAAAGGTCTCTGCATGTGTAGCCTTATTAACAACAACAACATGGCTAAATTACGTCCTCAACATGTCTTGAAGTTCTCCAGAGGCCTGGTAATGAAATAAACATTTGATTCAGGTGTGTTGGCCCAGGGTGACATCTAAAACCTGCAGGACACCGGCCGTCGAGGCCTGGAGTTCCCCACCCCTGCTCTAACAGATCCAGCTCTGTTTATGTATAGTTTAAGCAAGGGGTGTCGGACTCCAGGCCTCGAGGACTGGTGTCCTGCAGGTTTTAGATATCACCCTGGGTCAACACACCTGAATCAAATGATTAGTTCATTACCAGGCCTCTGGAGAACTTCAAGACATATTGAGGACATAATTTAACCATTTGAATCAGCTGTGTTGGATCGAGGACACATCTAAAACCTGCAGGACATCAGCCCTCGAGGCCTGGAGTTCGACACCTGTGGTTTAAGCTAACAGATGTTAGCAAATTAAAACGATGAATGTATTTGTTAAAATTCAACATGTACAAACTCATTAAATCTCTGGCATGGTTGTATGCCCGTCATTAGTGTGAAATATCCACCTGCTTCACATTTTAAATGTTGGCCGTTTATAAGCTTTGTGGCTATAAGCATTTGTTAGCCACAACAACATTAGCTGTTAGAAGTTCACATGCTAAGTCCATGGAGTGTTTTGTAAAGCAGTGGATTGGCACGGATGCTACCACAAAAGGGGAATTCAGTGGCTCAGTCTATATGTGTCATTTCAACATCCCTTACAGACTAGCTAACAAATTTTTATGTTTGTCAAGGATGTATTTTGAAGTAAAAGCAAAGCTAAAATTAGGCGAGATGACCAAATCAAGTGGATCACCAAATACTATGTAGTATGTACCATGTATATAGTCACAAAGATTGTAAAGTCATCAAAGTGATTTCACTTACTGTGGTTCTTTTGGGAATGTGTGTGGTTGCCTTGATTAAAAACAGCAGCCTCATCTCTCTAATCTACAATTTTTGAGGAAAACCTCATCAACACTGGCAGCAACCACCCTGTGAGATCACCTATATGCAATACGACAGCCACTCCTTAGTTCGTTGGCCTCTTTGTATTGTTTGTTGTGCACCATATTGCACAATTCCTCTTGAGTGAATGAGTAGCTAACCTTGTTATGCACCATTTCAAAGAACAATGGAGAGTTACACAACTGAGTCTGCAAAAGAGCAAAACAGGCAGATGAATCTGTAATTGCAGACGCACAAAACCACATAACTTTATTTTTATCCTCAGTCAACATCCGATTCTAATTTCCAGGATGTCAGATTGAAACTGTGGTAGCACAAAATTGGAGTCATAAAATAAAAATACAGCATGCGGTTAAGTGTTATAAAATCCTTGAAATGATACAAGTCTCCATGATCTCAACTATTGCAGTGCTGGATCTAGTCCAATGTTAAATAAACAATAATACTCAATATTACCAATACTATGATTAACTGTCTTAAAATATTGGAGAGTAACTTTAGTTTATATGACATGAACCTGTTGAGACAGCAGGGGGAGCCATAGCATTATTGTTTGTTCTGTTATGACAATTCTACATGATGTTTTTGAAGTGTTTTGAGGTTGAATTAATTACCTATGTAGCAATTGTGGTGAATTTTCTCTAGGTCCGAATTTAACATTTAAGATAATTGTGAGTTATTAATCAAGAGATTGTACCTAAATTAATTTCTTTAATCTGCACTCATAAAATATCTTGATTAACGGCTGCTAGTCAAACACTCCAGCACTTTCTAAGCTTTTTAACCTGTCAGTATATTTGACCTACATCTTAATCAGGTGCTGGAAATTAGCCAGAAGTTTCACACATTAACCCGAGCAGGAGGTTAAGTCAATTAAAACATAATTGCTATCAACAACACATTACTAATCTACAAATCTAGCACGCTGAAGATTCAGAAAACTCTTGCAGAAGCTAGACAAAATCACAGTCAAAAGCCATTTACTGTTTAGGTTTATACTCTTTCTCTGAGGAAAGAAAAACTTCTAAGGATACAAACAAACTGTGACACCCAGAGCTGAGGTTTTATAACATTTACTATTACAACATAATCAGTGATGCGCCTAGCTAACAAACCTAGCTTTATCCACTCCGAGGACCAAGTTTTTAAAAAACAAAATAAACAAGGGACCAAAATGCCAGACTTGGTATCTCACACACCAGTTGGAGATGTCACGGTAGGTATGAGCTACTTTTTATATGATATATGAATGGACATTTTCTGTTTCTGTAGCTGCTGCTAACATGTTGGTTGCTTATACAAAAATAAATCTGATGTTGGTCACATTACTTAAAAGTTTATTGGAAATGGTTTGCACACAAACTTTCACTTTAGATCAACACATTAACATAAATTTTAGACTTCACCTGCACCACTTTACCCTCTAATGCAAATTTCAGTCAACCAGATAATTTATTTCAGTTGTGCAATTAACGTATAGTAGAAAGTAAATACTGCTTTTCCACTCATTTTCAGTCCAGTACTTGTACCTGATCGTTTTCAGATAAACGTTGTTGTTTGTTACAACACTTAACATTGACCTACGAATGATTCAAGCATAAAAAAACGACCAAAGGATGAAAAAGTGTTGTTTCTACAAGTAACTGACAGCTTAAGAGAGAACCAATATTTAAGTTTTACTATGACGCTGTTGCAGAAAAACATTTGTTTCCATTTCCTTTGATGAATACATCAAAAATGTCAAAGATAATACAGTTTGACAGACATGAAATAACCTTGTTGTACCAACACACTGATTCCCAAAGAACTATTAGCCAAAACCTTGGCATATCCCAACATGATGTGCAGTGTGTCCTTTGAGGAAACTGGACAAGTGTAAGACAAAAGAGTAAGTGGAAAGCTTAAAACTGATCTTTGGCAGATAACCAGTGTCTGAAAGTCATGTCTTTGAGAAATGGGGGGAAACATCCAGCAAAGACCAGACACTGGACCTAAAAGATACATCTGAAACTTTGATCCATCTACTCCTCACTGAAGCTTCATCAGAAATGCTCTCAGTGGAAGGGTGCATATCAAGAAGCAATTCTTCAGGGAAGGAAGTGAAGGGAAACGGCTGAGGTGTGCCAAATTACACAGGAACTGGACTGAAAATCAGTGACCTAAATTCATCTAAATTGAACATTTTAGCTCAATCTGTCATCAGTATGTATGGAGGAGGTCAGCAGAAAGGTACAACAGTGAGTATCTACAGCCATTTGTAAAACATGGCAGAGGCTCTGTCATGGTTTGGGGCTGTGTTTCAGCCAGTAGTGTTGGAGATCTTGTCGAAAAAAAAAAAAATCAGATTTTGATTCACCATGCAGTATGACCTGGAAAGCATGACTTAATTTTTTCGCATGATAATTATCCCAAACACACTGCTAATGCAGCAAAAGCGAAACACACTGTGGGACACGGGGAGTCATGGATTGGCTTCACCAGAGCCCAGACTCAGCAAGCAGTGTGGGGGGATCATTTTGACAGAGAGCAGAACAAAAGGCAGAAACATCCAAAAAAGAGCTTTCAATGTCCTTTAAGAAGCCTGGAGAACTATTCCTGAAGACCACTTAAAGAAACAAGACAAGAAAGCTTCCAGGCTGTCTTGAAGAATAAAGGTGGTCATACCAAATATTTACTTTCAAGCTCATTAAAATTATAAACCTTGTTTTGGCCTTATATGCTGTATTTCCATGTGTGCACATTTCAGTAAATCACTGCACTTATGTCAAATTTTCCTGTGAAAACATGAAGAAATCAGGGAGGACTCAAGACTTTTACACAGTGTTGTATATATAATAACAGAAAGCCACTCAAGTGGCTGAAGAAACCCAGGGAATCACCAATAACCAATAAAACTTTCTTCTCTACATGTGAACCAACCGATTAATATCCGGCCACACCATCTAATTGTTTCACAATGGGAATAAAATTAATTGGCAAAATCAATGCTAACAATATCTAACAAAATGTCATTAATTAAATATTAATACATATTGACAGAAAGTCGTGAGATTGACATGGCAGATGACTTAAGTGCTTTCTTGTATGAAAGCCAAAGGACATGGCGATCAGCAAAAAATAATAAAATCGAATTTGTTTTAAAGCTATTGTTCAATTTATTTGATTAGTATGTACCCTCATCCTGGACAGATGCTTTGTGACAGCAGCACCTGCTCTGCCAGACAGCCAAAGAAACAATTATTGATTTAATGCTGAATACACCATGAATAGCTTACTAAAAATGGAGACCCACAGCCAATATCCCAGTCCCTTGGCTCCTCACGTACACGTAAAGTAAATCACTAAGGACGCAGTCAACAGGAAGAACACTTTAAAACCTGAGCACCGAGGTAATCAGTGTAAGAGTGAATAGTGGTGATTACAATGCTCACTGCAAACAAAGACAATTCGGGGAGGGGTGGGAACTATTTTACTTTCCTGTTGAACTCAGAATCAAATGAAAAAACAAAAACAAAAACATGCAAACATCTGCAACTACAGCAAAGACACCACTGAATATCAAATCAATCTCAAATTTAAAGCAAGGACAGAATAATTAGTGGAATTTACTTCACATGCCATTTCTTAAATTTGTTACATTTACATGTCACGAATTAAAATATATTCAATATTCATTATCTATCAATAAAATAAGTGTGTATGAAGGTTAATTCACACTGGAAGGCAATAACGTCATCATTGTACACAGTTTTATAACTGTGATCACAGATGATCACAGTCAAAATCTCAACGTATTCACGACTCCTGTACTTCAAACCATGCATTCAAATCATGACCATTAACAAGAGCATCAAAGAAATATTGAAAACCCAATCAGATTAAGTGTTGTTTACGATGCAGATTAGTTAGAAAAGAGCCACTCTATGTCAGAAATAATGTTTAGGAGTTTAGCATTAACCACACATAAAAGTTTAAGGAAAAATTAAATAGATG